AAATTTCATCCATGTTCATCAATGTTTTTCAAATTTCATCCATGCTCACCAATGTTTATCAAATTTCATCCGTGCTCAGCAATGTTTATCAAATGTCATCCATGTTCATCAATGTTTATCAAATGTCATCCATGTTCATCAATGTTTATCAAATGTCATCCATGGTTAACAATCCATGTTCATCAATGTTTATCAAATTTCATCAATTTTCATCAATGTTTATCAAATTTCATCCATGTTCATCAATGTTTATCAAATTTCATCCATGTTCATCAATGTTTATCAAATTTCATCCATGTTCATCAAATTTCATCCATGTTCATCAAACTTTATCAAATTTCATCCATGTTCATCAATGTTTATCGAATTTCATCCATGTTCATCAATGTTTATCAAATTTCATCCACGTTCATCAATGTTTATCAAATTTCATCCATGTTCATCAATGTTTATCAAATTTCATCAATTTTCATCAATGTTCATCAAATGTCATCCATGTTCATCAATGTTTATCAAATTTCGTCCATGCTCATCAATGTTTATCAAATTTCATCCATGCTCATCAATGTTTATCAAATTTCATCCATGCTCATCAATGTGTATCAAATGTCATCCATGCTCATCAATGTTTATCAAATTTCATCAATTTTCATCAATGTTTATCACCATGTTCATCAATGTTTATCAAATTTCATCCATGCCCATCAATGTTTATCAAATTTCATCCATGTTCATCAATGTTTACCAAATTTCATCAATTTTCATCAATGTTTATCAAACTTCATCAATTTTCATCAATGTTCATCAAATTTCATCCATGTTCATCAATGTTTATCAAATTTCATCAATTGTCATCAATGTTCATCAAATGTCATCCATGTTCATCAATGTCTATCAAATTTCATCCATGCTCATCAATGTTTATCAAATTTCATCCATGTTTATCAATGTTTATCAAATTTCATCAATGTTCATCAATGTTTATCAAATTGCATCAATGTTCATCAATGTTTATCAAATTTCATCCATGTTCATCAATGTTTATCAAATTTCATCCATGCTCATCAATGTTTATCAAATTTCATCCATGCTCATCAATGTTTATCAAATTTCATCAATTTTCATCAATGTTTATCACCATGTTCATCAATGTTTATCAAATTTCATCCATGCTCATCAATGTTTATCAAATTTCATCCACGTTCATCAATGTTTATCAAATTGCATCAATTTTCATCAATGTTTATCAAATTTCATCCATGTTCATCAATGTTTATCAAATTTCATCCATGTTCATCAATGTTTATCAAATTTCATCCATGCTCATCAATGTTTATCAAATTTCATCAATGTTCATCAATGTTTATCAAATTTCATCAATTTTCATCAATGTTTATCACCATGTTCATCAATGTTTATCAAATTTCATCCATGCTCATCAATGTTTATCACAAATAAAAACAAAACATCAATGTTCATCAATTTTCTACGATGCTCATCAATGTTCATCAATGTCCATCAAATTTCATCCATGCTCATCAATGTTTATCAAATTTCATCAATGTTCATCCATGTTCATCAATTTTCTACGATGCTCATCAATTTTCATCAATGTTCATCAAATTTCATCCATGCTCATCAATGTTTATCAAATTTCATCAATGTTCATCCATGTTCATCAATTTTCTACGATGCTCATCAATGTTCATCAATGTTCATCAAATTTCATCAATGCTCATCAATGTTTATCAAATTTCATCAATGCTCATCCATGTTCATCAAATTTCATCCATGTTCATAAATGTTCATCCCTGCTCATCAAATTTCATCCATGCTCATCAATGTTTATCAAATTTCATCAATTTTCATCAATGTTCATCAAATTTCATCCATGCTCATCAATGTTTATCAAATTGCATCAATGTTCATCAATGTTTATCAAATTTCATCAATGTTCATCAATGTTTATCAAATTTCATCAATGCTCATTAATGTTTATCAAATTGCATCAATGTTCATCAATGTTTATCAAATTTCATCAATGCTCATTAATGTTTATCAAATTGCATCAATGTTCATCAATGTTTATCAAAGTTCATCCATGTTCATCAATGTTTATCAAATTTCATCCATGTTCCGCAATGTTCATCCATGTTCATCATGGTTCATCAATGTTCATCAATGTTCATCAAGTTTCATGAGTGTTCATCAAGTTTCATCAATGTTCATCAATGTTTATCAAATTTCATCCATGCTCATCAATGTTCATCAAATTTCATCCATGTTCATCAATGTTCAGCAATTTTCTACGATGCTCATCAATGTTCATCAATGTTCGTCAATGTTTATCAATTTTCATCAATGCTCATCAATGTTTATCAAATTGCATCAATGTTCATCAATGTTCATCAATGCTTATCAAATTTCATCAATGTTCATCAATGTTTATCAAATTTCACATCAATGTTTATCAAATTTCATCCATGCTCATCAATGTTTATCAAATTTCATCCATGCTCATCAATGTTTATCAAATTTCATCAATTTTCATCAATGTTTATCACCATGTTCATCAATGTTTATCAAATTTCATCCATGCTCATCAATGTTTATCAAATTTCATCAATGTTCATCAATGTTTATCAAATTGCATCAATTTTCATCAATGTTTATCAAATTTCATCCATGTTCATCAATGTTTATCAAATTGCATCAATTTTCATCAAATTTCATCCATGTTCATCAATGTTTATCAAATTTCATCCATGCTCATCAATGTTTATCAAATTTCATCCATGCTCATCAATGTTTATCAAATTGCATCAATTTTCATCAATGTTTATCAAATTTCATCCATGTTCATCAATGTTTATCAAATTTCATCCATGCTCATCAATGTTTATCAAATTTCATCAATGTTCATCAATGTTTATCAAATTGCATCAATTTTCATCAATGTTTATCAAATTTCATCCATGTTCATCAATGTTTATCAAATTTCATCCATGTTTATCAATGTTTATCAAATTTCATCAATGTTCATCAATGTTTATCAAATTGCATCAATGTTCATCAATGTTTATCAAATTTCATCCATGTTCATCAATGTTTATCAAATTTCATCCATGTTCATCAATGTTTATCAAATTTCATCCATGTTCATCAATGTTTATCAAATTTCATCCATGTTCATCAATGTTCATCAATTTTCTTCGATGCTCATCATCTTCAATGCAAGCAGTTCTGATGGGACCCCTGCGCAAAAGCTCGGAGATCAGATCTCCAAGGTCCAAGTCATCAAGACTGTGTGCCTGTGCAGTCCAGCACACTCCCATCCTCTAATCGTAGGCTAAGGCGGCTAATGCGGCTAACGTTGTCGCTTGTGAATTGATTCGCAACTGTCCTATGTTGTCCTCTACATGTGAAACATCACCAAGACATCTTGGACTTTTCTACCTACCATTGGGCTGAATATGCTTCATTGATAAATGAAAAGGGTGCCCTGGCCACCCGCATGGAAGCTGCTGGCTAGTCAGAAAGGAAATGAAAAAAATCACTGCCATTGCCGAACACATGTTCGCAGCCCCACCACAAGCAAAATCAGCTCTTGCAAGTAGTGCCTCTCGCCGGAAGGTGATGTTGCAAATTGACCGCACCTTTTTTGCAGATGTGTGTCTCAGTGCTCCGGACTAGCAGAACAGACTGGTCTTGTACAATCATTCTGTCCAAATCAATTCAAATGCATCCAAAGAGATGCAACACTGTCACAACCAGATCAACCAATACATTAAATCCTGGAATTACAGTGACAACTAGCAAAGGCACAAACGTCAGAAAGCAAATTGTGTAGTTGCCACATCTTGGAACACATCCAGGTGTCTTTCCGAAGAAAGGAAAGAAGAAACGAATAAAATAAACTTTAAAAAGACAGGACATGTCTGGGAGCAGGAAACCAATGGCGCACGTTCAAAAGAGTCGGCAAGCGGTTAGGGCTTTGATTTTTCCCACCTGGGCATCAGCTTGTTTTTGCTTTGCATTCCATTTGCCGCGCCTGAACATGTGTAGCTGGGCAAAAAACTCTACTGCAGGTGCTCGGCAACTGCTACAGCATTGATGTCTGTTCACAACTGCTGACATTTACGCATCGGCCTGACTGCGGACACCTTTGGTCCAACCTGAGCTGAAAAGCCATGAATAGAAGATAGGTAGAATAATGTAGAATACATAATTTATGTATATATATATATATATCTATTTATCTGCACGGGAAAAAGTGACCGCAGGACCTACAATCTGCACGGGTCAATTTAGGAAGCTGCCACCCACAGCCCGACGATAGTTTGACTGAAGAGTTTCTGCAAGCTATAGAAGCCGCAAGAAATGCGGTGGAACCTGAGCAACCTCCTATTGATCCTGACTCGATTGATGCTCAACCAGAAGTTTTCCAAATTATTTGGGACAGGGTTCAGCAAACGACAGCCACTGATTCTGCACTGACACAGAGGTCTGGTCGAATTGAGAGTTGGTACCTACATCATGCGGAATTTACCAGATGTCATACCTCAAGAATCACGCTAATAGGTGAAGATTTTCGGCAATGGCAGCAGCAACTTGCGGCGACATGGAATGATAGGGTTCGGAATCGGAATGAGCTTTCCTTTTCCCTTGCGCACCCTGAGCCGGAGGACGCTGCCACCGGAACTTTGGCCCAAATTATCATCACTGAAAGAGAGTACCCTGAGTTTAAGTCTTGTGTGGTCTCTGTGTATGACTCGGACCCTGATGCTGAACGCCGCCCTTATACCCTTGCTGTGGTTCTGCCTTGGAGAATCAACCTTAGTCGATTGCTTGGCATACTACATATGCAGACTGATTGTCCACCGCATGTTTTGGAGAATCTTTGCAGTCTCTGGTTCGGGCGCATTCCAATAGGAGCTAGTCACGAAATCAATGCTCTCAACGGTAATGCTTTTCGACTGATCATCAGTAGGGGTATCAGAATGGAAGTCCCGCGTCTCCTGACAATGGACAACACGCAGCTCCGTGCTATTTTGCAGCGGGCTATCCGCATTGAAATCTTCGATAGGCCCAACGAACCAAGTTTTACTCAAATCTCCGCCGAGACTAGTAATGCCCATGAAGATAGTGCCATGACTTTGTTGCCAGAAGACGCCCGACCCACTTGGATTCCGGTGCTTGAGCAACATTTTCGCAGGGGCCATCAGAGAGAGCCGCCGGATTATAACCCTACGCTTCAGGTGCAGGTTTGGTTTTTGAATGATGATATGGATTATCATTGTACTCGTGCCCGGCTGGCAACGATTGCTGATGAATCATTTATGTGGCGTACTGATCTGATTTTCCAATGGCGTGATAGAATAATGCGTGCCTCACCCATTGATGTGGTTGCCTTACCTAGTCTGATCGCCTCCAATCCTCATGACATGCCCATGCCACATGTCATCGTGACACAAGGCCTTCAGTCTAATACGTTTGCTGTACTTATTACTGTCCGTGGGACTGGCCCACTCCAAATGCTTGCACGACAGTTCGCCCATGTCTTCCATGGCCGTATTCTTGGTAGAGAGGTAATCAGATTAGCTGTGCCTGAGGAACATCGTCACCGGCCGGTGATTATTCAGATGGCAGGACAAACATATTTCCCAGATGATGTGCTTTTTGTTCAAATGGGAACGCATCTTTCTGTTTTAATCTCTGCTGATAATGTGGACATCTATTCAGATCAAATTGCAGATGCATTTAACCTGATGCAGCAACATGCTCAGATCATTAGTCTTGAAACCGACATTCCTAGGCTTGTTTGCAAACCGGCTGATTTCGAACTCCCGGACGACTTCCCAGTCTCGTTACCGGGACCGAATCACCCTAGGTCTCGACCTGAACGACCCGTGCCAGATGATGACATGCAATGGTCATTAGATCTAGGTGCCTTGTTTCAAACACATGGCATTTTGAATGCTTGGAATGATGAGCTTACTCTGTCAGTTGCTACGTGGTTTGTGCATCATAATAGGCACCCTGCCTGCCATCAGCCTAGACATCTACGGCTTCTTGGTAACCCTATTACTTGGACCTATGACTTACGGAATGCCTGGATTGACTTATTAGAAAGGAGATTGCCATTCCACATACATATTGTCAAGCCCCGACCGCCGCAGTACAGAGAACAGGGTCATGTTTGCCACATCATTTTGGAGCAAGCACCATCTGATGATAGAACAGTCGCTGTCCTCACGGCACTAGTGGAAGGGACTTTGACAGATGGAATTATCCAAGGCGCTTTTTCGGTCGGGCGAAGGGTTTGCCTTGACAGTGTTATTCGATCCATGGAGGTTTCCTTTCTTTGCCATGCACACCGTTGTACACTTGTTCAGAATAGACGACCTGTCCACACTGGCAACTGGATTGACCTTCATCCAGGCGAAAGCATCTATGTCCGAATTTCGCCATCGCAACCATCAAATTCAACTGGGGCAGTTGGTGACCTGACCCAGCATTTTGATGACCTCACATTGATGCAGCGGGCTGATTCCACTCCTGTACCTTCAAGTTTGAACCCTTTTGCTCCAGAATTCACGCCTGATAGGCCACCTATTAATACCCAACCAGAGCGTCTGCAAGATTTATTTGAGATCTGGTCAGATTGCTCGTATGCGTGGGAAGAGGAGTCACGAGCGATGCATGTTCTTACTTGGTTTGTTGCGCCTGGAATAGGAATGCCGCGTTGCCTCAAGAGCCGTAAAGCCACATTATATAGAGACTTTACGCAATGGGAAAGTATACTCAAAGCACGGTGGGAAGGTTTGTTGGATCAACAGGCATCGATTAACTTTGTTGTTGTTTCCCCTGGACCGCCACATCTTGAACCCACCATTAGTGCGCATGTGTTGCTTATCCAACACCCACTGCCTGAATGGTCTTCCCCGCTTATTACTATCTATGACCCTGCTGTTACCCAGGGACAACCTTTTCGGCTCACTGCAACTTTACCGGACATCACTGCTGAGCAGAATATCCTTGTTGCAACGTCTTATGACCGAGACTGCCAAACTCAGGGCACACAGTGTTTTTTCCGGCTTGAGCGACATGCCATTCCACCTGGGCATCGTGTTCGGCTCAGTGATGGCCATAATATCATCATGCAAGTGTGCCGAGCTAACCTCCCTGCCAACTGGTGTCCACCAATTCAGCCAGAAGAACCAGGGACTGAGGGGTTGGGGCTGTTGCAACTTTCAGCTGCACGCTTGGCCCCAGCTGATGCTATCAAACTTGACATGGAACCTGCTATACAGGCGTTTGAATGGATTGACTCCCATCTTTTCTTACCTGCCTTCAGTGTGCCGGATGATGTTCAACTACATCCACCATGTCGAAGTTGGCTGGCATTACCCTTTTGGGAGATTGGGATCCAATGTGACGCCCTTACAATCTATTTAGACGGTTCCTTTTGCTCTACTACCCAACATGCAGGAGTTGCAGTTGCTGCCTTTATTCGTTCTGACTGTACTTGGTACCAGGCTGGAATGATCTCCAGCCGAATTTGTGCCGATAACTCATATCAGGCGGAAGTTAGTGCTGCACTCGTTGCTTCCAAATTTGCATTTGATCTGATCAAACAGATCCTTTTTGGACAGACGCAGTCATGTTCACTTTGGCTCGGGTTTGATTCCCTGACAGTTGGACAGCAAATGCTTGGGAAATGGAACAGTCACAATCTCCGCTTTCTACTAGTATTCTACGCAGCTTGCATCGACTCATCTCGGCAAGGTACGGTATTGAACCGCAGGCCTGGCACATCCATAGTCACCAGGGTGAGCTGGGTAATGAGCTGGTTGATTCACTTGCACTGCATGCGGCTCAACATGAGGGCACCCATGATGTGACTCATTTTCTGCAATATCTTACGCAGAAATCATTTGCGCATGCACTTGAATGGGTGTGGATGCTTTTCGAACCTCGTTACAACCATATGTGGCGAGGTACTGATATTTGCCTCCCGAAAGCACCACTGACTGTGCCAGACGCTAATGTTTTCCCTTCGGTTTCTGCTGAGCCGAATATTGAGCAGAATATTGACGATGAAGGTATTGGCAGAATTGCACTTTGCTTTGGCACTTGCAATGTGCTTACCCTTAAAGGAGTTGATGAACCACAGTGGGGTCTCCAAGGTGTTGCCCGGCAGGACTCCATTCTTGAACAATTTCACCTGCAGGGCATTCATATTGTTGCCCTCCAAGAAACACGCCTGAAGAAGTTGTTCCGAGCAAAAGATGACAGGTACGTTCTTGTCAAAAGTGCTGCTACTGCTTCAGGTTGCTATGGCATTATCCTGGCGCTTAGTAAGATACATCCTCACGGACTTGTCCCTTCTAAGACCGGAGAAGGAAAGCCTGTCTATTTTACGGAACAACATGTGTCCATCATTGTGGCGGAGCCGCGAATCCTTATTGTTCGTATTGCATCACCAATTTTACATTGTATTGTTATTGCTGCACACGCACCTCATTCTGGCTACTCTGACGCTGAGATCCAGACTTGGTGGGAAGAGCTTGGAACTCGTATCCCGACCAAATACAATGAATGGTCCCGAGTTCTTCTTTGTGACGCCAATGCACGACTCGGTAGTGTTTCAACTACCCATGTTGGAGATTTCCAAGCCGAAGTTGAACATCGCCACTCGGAATATTTTCGATTATTTCTGCAGCAGCAAGGTATTTGGCTACCCTCAACATTTAGCCAATGCCAAGTTGGCCCGGGAGGAACCTGGCAACACTCTAACGGGGATTGGAAACGCGGCGATTATGTCGGCCTTCCTGTCCAATGGTGTTATGATACTTGTCAGGCCTATGTACATACTGAAATTGATGTCTCAACGATCAAGGAGGATCATAGGGCCGCCATTGTTAAATTTGAGGGGCCAAGCCCATTCTGCAGGTATCGCAGCAGACCCTACCAGAAGGTTTTGCCTGACCTTGCCATTGACACTCTAGATCCCCATGCCTTTGCGCAAGTTATTCAGCCTGATTTTACTGTTGATGTACATTCCCATGCATATTCATTGGAACAGCAGATCTTGCAGTCGTGCACCAAACGCTTACCTAAGCGTACCAAGCACCCTCGCAAAGAAAGTATGTCCAACGAAACATGGCAACTTGTGATTCAGAAGCGTGATTGGAGGAAACATTTATGGCATACTCGTGACCTCCAAAAGCATACGCTACTACGGGCTTGCTTTAAAGCATGGCATGACCTACCAGAGGTGACATACTGGGACCACATCTCCGATATACTTCGCCAGCAAGATATTTTGATCGCACAGGCGACCTCATATTTGTACTGGCTTGGTAAACAGGTTGTTAAGGCCCTGCGACATGATGATGCTGTCTTCTTCAGCAAACTTGCGCAAGAAGCTGGCACATTTGTTCACCCACAGCAAGCTAAAAGTCTCTGGAGGGTAATTAGACGCTCTTTGCCGAAATTCCAGCCACGCAGGCTTCAAGCACCGCCTGAGCAGCTAGAGGCACTTGAGGAGCAATGGCACCCCTATTTTCAACAACTTGAAGCTGGTTGCACCGTGAATGCAGCTGACTTGCTTACCGCTTTGCCATCAGTTTCAAATTGAACAGGGCAGTGTCCAAAGAGATTGCTCCATCTTTGACCTTCCTTCATTGCAACAGATTGAAACTACATTCCGTTGTACACTACCAGGTAAAGCAACTGGACTTGATCCTATTGCCTCAGGCCTTTTCCATTTTTATCCCACTGAGACAGCCAGGCTATTCTTTGATCTCTTCTTGAAGATCTATACGTGGCAGGCTGAACCATTGGCCTATAAAGGGGGTATCATGGCCGTTATTCCTAAGAGGCTTTGTGCCACTACTGCCAAGCACTTCCGTGGGATTATGCTCCTACCATCAGTAGCCAAACGACTCCATGCGCTGCTGAGAACCTCCACTGTCAGCCTTATTGAGCGTGTTACACCGGCTGGACAAATTGGTGGTTTCCAACACCAGCAAGTTGGCTTTGCTTCACAAGCACTGCGCACCTTCTGCCGTATTATGCAGATTAATGGATGCAGCACAGGGGTCCTCTTTATTGACCTCTCCAATGCCTTCCACCGTCTGGTGCGTGAGCTTGTTTGTGGCGTTAGCGCACACTCTGATATTCAAGCTGTATTAGAAGTGATTGAAAATGGCAATGGAACCACCGAGGGCCTTAGAGCGTGGCTGAAATTGCCTGGACTCCTCGAACGGATTGGGGCTTCGCCACTTCTGGTGCAGCTTCTACGGGATGTGCATACCAATACATGGCATACTATTGCTGCGCTACCTGGTATTACACGCACTCGTCGTGGCACACGACCTGGGAGCCCCCTTGCTGATATTGTTTTCCATGTTTTGATGATGGACATTGTCATTGAGATCAACACATGGATTGAGCGCCAAACTAGCTATCAAGCACTTCTTAAGAGATTTGATGTTCAGTTTGACACTATAGTGTGGAGTGACGATCTTGCGATTCCCTGGTGCACAAATATGGCCGATGAGCTAGTCCCAGCTATTTGTGAACTTCTCCGCACTGTTGATCGGATTTTCACCCGACGGGGATTTGACCTCAATATGGATAAGGGCAAGACGGGTGTGGTGCTCACCTTCCATGGTGCAGGTTCACCTGACCTACGCAGGAAATTTTTGCTTACAGAACCGAGTGGCTTTCATTGCTTGCTGGACCATGATAGGCAGACCTGGGTGCATGCATCTGCCTCCTACCGCCATCTTGGTACCCAATTTGCTAGTAAGCTTGATTTTGCTGAAGAACTTCGCTTTCGCTGTGGACAGGCTGCAACTGCTTTTGGCGCTATGCGTAAGCAAGTGTTCTGTAACAGACATATTCCTGTGGCTACACGTTTGAAGCTCTTCCATGCCTTGGTCTGCACCCGACTGTATTTCGGATTAGGGGCTTGGGCAACCCCCACGATAAGCCAACTTCACCATTTGAAGAAGGTCCTTGTTGGTTTCCTCCGTAACATCTTGCATACTGGTCACCGTAGGACAATGGAGAAACTCACCGATGCGCAAGTATTTGCACAATCGCATTTCTTTGAACCGCGTATCAGACTTGCGCAAGATAGGTTGCTGTTTGCCCATAAAGTCTTTCAGCATGGACCTGGTTTTGCACAACACTTGCTCCATATGGAATTTCAATACCTTTCTCACTCTTGGATTAGCGGTCTATTTGCTGATATTGTGTGGCTGCGCAGTGTTTTGCCTGATTGTGTCCCGGAAGAATGGACACACACGCTTACCGGAGCTATCGAGTTTTGGCAAAGTGGGGCCCCAGGGTGGAAGGCTATGATTACGAGGGCAGGGAAGAAACATCTCTTTCAAGAAGCGATGATGGCAGATGCTTTCTCATGGCATCGACAGTTTTTCCGTGTTCTTGAGAAAAACGGTGCTACCTTTGACCCACCATTCTTTGGTAAAACTGTGGCTGAATGTGAATTCCATTGTGCCTGTGGAAGGCAATTTGATACCGCTCAAGGGTTGTCTACACATAGGAGAAAAGCCCATGGAATTTTCTCGCAAGAGCACGACCTGCTTCATGGTGCAACTTGTCCAGTATGTTTGGTCCATTTCTGGACTACCCAGAGACTCCAGCAGCATTTATCTTATATTTCGAGACGCACTGGGCGTAATGCTTGCTATCAAGTGCTGCGGAAAAGTGGTTATGCAGTTGACTATGAGCGGGCTCACTTCCCTTCACGAGTTAGAGGGCTAAATCGCATTGAAGCGATACCCTGTGAAGGACCACAAGGCCTCTTTTCACCTGTGTTGCAAACGCAGATTGTCAATTGGCGACGAGAAATTGATTGCCTTATGCGTGATTTAGATACTATCACTCTGCCTTCGGATCCAGTGCTATCTACTGACCTGCTGTGTGAGGGGCTTACACGCACCACGCGCGCCTGGTTTCAGCAATTCTGTGATCATTCTTACGATTTATTGGCTGTCGGTCCCCTTGAGGATCATTGGTTTGACTACCTGGCAACCTGGCCACATGAATTGGATGATTGGTTTGCAGATGGATTCCTACAATGGGGCCAAACACATTTGCAGGACTTGATTGCTGAATTTGTTGATGGAGAAGCTGAGAGAATTGCGGATGAGGCCTTTTATGAGATCACCAAAGACATGCCGAGATGTCAGATGCGTGACCGTGTCACATTCCTTAACCATGGCATTGCCCGAGCAGAATCTGAGCTTGCCGCTGATGTTCAACATCGGCCGCCATATAATGCAGCTGCGGTAGCTCGAGCAAAAGCACGTAAGGATGACCCAGACACTATTTTTACGACCTATCGACAACAAACAGATTGGCATAATGAGGTGCGCAAGATTAAGTGGGATACGCTCCCAAAAGATGCTGCAACACCCATGACTGACGGGATCCTTGCCAAACCGATTTTCTTGATCGTTCACCTCTTCAGTGGAAGGAGGCGTCCCCAAGATGTTCACTGGCACATTGCCAAATTGGCAGCGGAACGAGGTATTGAGGTTGCTGTCCTCTCCATGGACACTGCGGTGTCTCCTTATTATGGGGACTTAACGGCCTCTTCAGTTTCATGGCAGCAGCTTGCGCACCTATACGAACAAGGTTTTATTGCTGCAACAGTGTGTGGTGCCCCATGTGAGACCTTTTCGGCCGCCAGACATGTTCCACCCCCAGATGATTTACCGGACAAAGAGAAGCTAAGATGGCCAAGGCCTTTGCGAACATTTGCCCGGCTGTTTGGCCTTGATGGCCTTCGACCCAAGGAACTACGTCAATGCCGCCAAGGTAGTGCATTTATGTTTCAAGCCTTTATGGCTTGTACATGGCACCTTGTACTGGGAGGACTTTTCCTCAGCGAGCACCCGGCCCCTCCGGATGATACCGATAAAGCCTCTGTTTGGACCAGTGCCTACATTCAACTCCTTAAGAACCATCCTGATATTGCCCTGAGAATCTTTGACCAATGGAGATGGGGAGCGTCTGTGCGGAAGCCTACCGGGCTCCTCAGTCTGCGCTTACCACACCTAGCGCGTGCAATGTTTGCATGTGCCGATAAGGGAGCCAAATATCCCCATGAAGTAGCCATTGGAAAGGACAAGCATGACAAAACCGCGGTTTGTAAAGAATATCCGCCGCTTTTTGCTGCTGGAATGGCCAAGGCTATTGTCGATCAGCTCTGTACAGATAAACGACAATTTGCTGGCCACCGCTTTGTTTCTTTGGACCTTGCTGCCTTGAGAACTTGGGTCTGTGAAGCACTTGAGGCTAGCTCACAGATGTTTGAGCATAGCACCCATTTGCCAGACTATCAAGGAGTCTAAGTCCATGTATAGATTTTCCCTAATTCGAGAATTCTGCATTGGGCGACAAGAGCTGGACTCTTCATCGCCGAGGAAATTGGAAAAATATATATATATATATATCATATATATATATATAGTAGAATGATGTAGAATGGATGGTGTCATTCATCCCAGCATCTCCAAGTGCAGGGCCCAATGGACGAACACGTACCTGGGTTTCAAAAGCGTCAAGTGGCTGAGTGGCTGTGTCAACTAGCTGCTACTAAGTGTCTCCCAAAGATGGTTCACTGTGCCAACTCATGTTCAACCTTTGGATACCTTTGGGCTTTTTGCACGCTGAATCTTCCTCCAGGCGCACTTCACAACTTTAGGTGCTGCCGTCATGCCCTCCATTGTGCTGGCTGCTTTTTCACGTCCAAAGGTGAAGCCTGGCTCAGAAATGCTCAGAAGGATCCAGAAATGACAGAAATATACGGTTTCGCTCTGGTTGGCATTGCTGTTTGAACAGATTCTGCAGCCATGGTTAGGCGATGTTGAAAATTCTTGAAAATCCGCCAAAGTCACGGACCATTCCGAAGAGTACCATGTCCTCATTCAGCCAGTCTTTCATCCTGGCAGACTTCACCATTTCGAATCCCAAACCTAAAATGCACGATGGGGTGAGAACATACAAGCCATCGGCCACAGAGGAAAGACGAGCAAAGTCGCGCAAAGTTTCAAAATTTGTTAAAGCAGTGTGAAGAAATGTTGATGTTAAAGTTCAGACTGCCCTGAAAGATAATTGCTTGCAGCAGTCATTAGAGGTAGACACAAGAGACACGCACGTTTTTTTTCTGTACTTATGATTACTTCCGAGTATGTGCATCATTCAACGTGTGCAGTACGGGCCATTTCTTGGAATCCCCGACTCCACAATGCCACCATAGCCAGCATTGTGAAGCTCCAACTTCTCAGGCTCCAAAAGTGCCCAATTGTAGGGCCTCACAACCAGCTCAAAGCACCAGGTCGCTGTTGACTCCCCATCGAAACCGATTCAATTGATTACATTGATTCAAGAAAGGCACACCTTCGTGATAGTTGGCGTATTGCTGACGTTGTCATGGCATGTTCATTGTGAGTTGCTGTTGGCAGATCTCTGGAATTTCCACTGGCAGGATCACAATATTTGGGATTGTCCTCCACTCGACTCTTGCTTTTCTTTTCTACCTATAGAATACTTGTTGAGGTCCCAAAGCCATTGACACCCATGCCGTGAAATACAATACACATGAGAAAAAATCACTTCAGCTAGGACAAGACCAGAAATCCAGCAAAAGCACGGTCTGCAAATTTCTGTCGCCACAAGGGATGTTTTGATAGCACTTCCCCACCAAGGAACCCTGTGGCATCACCAACTGCTGAAAGCGCCCAGTCTACCGTGATGTTTTTCTGGGTCTCCTGCAGCCAGAGAAAGTGCCACTGTCCAGTCCACTCAGAGACTGAGAGAAGCTGCGACAGGTCGAGAGGTCTGCAAATGTGAAGCCCTCAACCTATTTCTCCAAGAGCTTGCAACTCACAGGCTGACAAAGAGGTATGTATAATTATGTATATAAGTCATACTGTAAGTTATACTGTAAGTTATACGTGAAGTCGTTAAGATGTGAATGTGATGAAGGCGGGCGAATTCGAGCCTTGGCAGTGCGTGGGCCTATGCTCTTCTGACTTGAAGCCTGACCAAGTGCGTACAAGGCGAGGTCACACAGAAGGTCAATACGACTAAAATGTTCTTAGTACCAGAACCTTGATGACTTTGCTAAGGGACAGAAGTGAATATTTTACAGCCCATACCCAATGCTTTTACAAGACATATTGGAACCTGGCAAACTTCTGCTTGTATGATTGTTTAAGTATACATATACATCAAATAATGCAGCTTGCTATACTTTTATCTCAACCTTGGCGCCTTCTTCATCTTCTGCTCAGCAATCAAGTTTTCATAGTCTTTTCGGAGGGCCTTCACCAACTGCAGGACTCACATCATGTTCAGGCCGTGGTGTTTGAGTTAGAGAAAACAGGCAAAACAGGCAAAACCGGGCGTGAACGTCAGGTTGAACATGTTTTCCGGTTTTTCAACATGGTTCAACACACCCACCGCCCCAACACCATTTTGGCGGCGGTTCTCCTCTGCAGACATTGACTTCTCCATGGCATCAGCAGTGAGAACCTGCGGGGACACTGGAGTGCTTACACGCTGAGGGTTGACGCTTGGATGATCCTGCAAGCCTGCAAGACATCAATTAGTTAGATGTAGTTAGGGCATCTTCCAAATTGTCACAGTTTGTATATCTATTCTATGTATATCTATGTCTATGTAATGTATTGTAATGTATCATTCTGTCAGATATTCAAACTAGCCATGCTCGCAAAGTGTGTAAGAAAATTATTGGTGCTACCAGTACTGAAGGCAAAGAAGCTGCACAGATTCAACTATGCGCAAAGAAATATCAGGAAGATTGAATATACACCACCTTGAAAAATCTTGAGAATCCATCTAATTCCATTCCTCCTTCCATTAAAAACAGCTGCTGTGTTGACATTGCCCTTGTGCCAAAGTTGAATGGAGCCCAGCTCTGCTATTTTAGATCGACTGAGCCAAAAACAGAATCAAATATAATTCAATTCTTTGTGCAGTGGCTCCGACTGTGGCCTTCATGAGCCGTTCGCAAATGAAGTTCAAATGAAGGTCCTCGGCAAGGAACAAGAAGACGTGCAAGCCTGCAAGTCATACGATACAAGCCGCACCGCCGCACAAGCCACAAACACACAAGTCATGGCTGTGCCGTGCATCCTTCAAGACGAATACTTTGTCATGTTCGTCTCCGGTAATTTTCTTCAAATCCTTGGTCCCTATTCCACCCATTTTCACCCTGTATTCCAAGCGTCCTCCTTGCGTTTCACTTCCAGAGTCGCATGCGCCTTCGGAGGAACATGGCAGCAGCTTATAGCAGCTTGCTCTGATTCAGATTGCCAACTATTCATGATTTGACCATGTTTTCCTCGAGCAAATTACGATTCGACAAAGATTCTGCTGGAATCTCCACCTGGCAAAATCCCCTTCCCTGACCGTGCTGGTGCAAACCAAGAAATATCTCACCCAAAGAATGACATAGAAAATACATGAAAATACAGACACTATCGAGAGACAACTGACATCACCTGATTTCAACATATTTCAACCGACACCCCGGAGATCGCTGGAGGTTTTGCCAACTGAACAAGTCTGGAGATCGTTTCCTGGGCACCGCCGTGCCTCGCCGAGCAAAGCCATGACCTCTCCGCTCCGGGCGTTGAGGCGTCCTCGTCGGACGACAGGAACCTCTTCTCCATTGAAGTGGATCGCAACCTAAAACGAAAGGAGAAACAAACGAAAGTGAAGCATTGAACATGCGAGACTATGCCACACCAGTATCGCTCTTACAGCAACGTCCTCCCTTTCCGCTGTGCCTTTGGCCTTGGGTTTACCTTTTTGATCCTTTTTGATCCTTTTTGATCCTTTTAGATCCTTTTTGATCCTTTTTGATCCTTTTTGATCCTTTTTGATCCTTTTTGATCCTTTTTGATCCTTTTCCAACCGGTTTGAAAGGTTGTTCTGGTTAGCCAGGGATTCTCATGGCTGGGGAGCCCGGACCAGCTTGGAACGCACGAAGGTGCCGGAACCCACTTCCCAGCGGAGCAGGGCCCAGGCCACGACGTCGTCCTCCCAAAGACACCACTCGACCGCAAACAAACAGAAAAACTGAAACATGGTACAACATATTAAAACATATTAAAACAGCAAAACCAAGAACAAATTGTTCGATGTTCTGAAAACACGTTCCCTTATTCCGTTGTGCTTAATTGAGCGAGCTGGTGATATTCCTAGTCCTAGTCATCAATCTGCTGTCCATCAAGGCATCCAAAGGCCAAACAACAACTTCTAAAGATTCTAAAGTTATGGCTCTCAGGAATAGTTGATCACGGTGAAGCTTTGAATTTACGGCTCAAAAACTGAAGTATTTAAAAGGCCTCCTTGTCCCCAAAAAGGCAACCTTCAACTGCATCCCCTCTCAGCCTTGAGATCCTGGTTCCTTTTCTGGCTCTAGTCATCTAGTCATCTAGCCGCAAAGGGGGATTCTGCACTGTCAAGTGGTCTTCTATCCCCTGCTTTGCTTCTATGGAATGGCAACGTTGGAGACTCCGGTGAGCTCTGGTGGGAAACTTGGTTCTGAAGGTAATGTCAGTGAGGTCCACTCATCCCGGTCCAATTCCGTCCGTCAACTGTTCACAAAGCTCTTCCACACCTCCTGACAGGCGTTCAACGGGCGCGCATCTCTGCATCAAAGTTCAACAAGTTCAATGAACTCTACAGATATGCGTAACAGTTTATGTATACGGTGTTATATGAATATCATGCGTGTGTGTGTACAATACATACATACAGATCACAGCATACCATAACACAACACAACATAACGTAACATAACCCAACGTAACGTAACGGAACGGAATCTAACAGAACAAAACATATAACATGACAAAACATAAAACATAACATAACAAACATACAACATAACATAATGTATATATACATGTTACATATATCACAACACAACACAACAAAACAAAACACAACACAACACAACACAGCACAACACAACACAACACAGCACATCACAACACAACACACAACAGTACAGTACAGTACATTGCATTGCATTACATACATACATTTGTACTGAGAGGGACGGGCACATGTATAAATCTATAATACATATAAAATACATATAATATCCGCCGACCCCGGCTGGCAGCAAGGGGGAGCGCGCTAGGGAAGAAGAGTTTACTACTACTACTACTACTAGTACCACTATTACCAGCACCCCCACCACCACTACCACTACTACTCCTACTCGGAGGGAGTGTTTGGGCGCAATTTTGATGTTTTTTCGTCTTGTCCTGACATGGTGTTTTCCTATCCGGGCGCTGCCGTTTGAACAGAAGGAGTAGCAGGAGCACGAGCAGCAGCAGCAGCAGCAACAGCAGCAGCAGCAGGACGAAACCGCGGCTGGTTTCGCGTCTGTTTCAAGAGCAGCAGTGAGTCTAGCAGCAACAGTAGCAGTAGCAGTACGCTTGCAGCAGCAGTAGCAGCAGCAGCAGCAAAAAGAAAAAGTAACTCAAATGATTTCCTGCCTATGTCGTCCGTCAGAGTCATGATGTTGCAGCAGCAGCAGCAAAAAGAAAAAGTAGCTCAAATGATTTCCTGCCTATGTCGTCCGTCACAGTCATGCTGTTTTCCCCGTCGGGCAACAACAACGACAACAACAGCAGCAGGACGAAATCGCGGCTGGTTTCGCGTCTGTTTCAAGAGCAGCAGTGAGTCTAGCAGCAACAGTAGCAGTAGCAGTAAGCTTGCAGCAGCAGTAGCAGCAGCAGCAAAAAGAAAAAGTAGCTCAAATGATTTCCTGCCTATGTCGTCCGTCAGAGTCATGATGTTTTCCCCGTCGGGCAACAACAACGACAACAACAACAACAACAACAACAAGAACAACAACAACAACAGCAATAGCAACAGGAACAGCAAGAGCAAGAGCAACAGCAAGAGCAACAGCAAGAGCAACAGCAAGAGCAACAGCAACAGCAAGAGCAACAGCATTTGTGCAGTGGGAGCAACAGCAGTAGCAGTAACAGCAGCAGCAGCAGCCGCAGCAGCAGCAGCCGTAGCAGCAGCAGCCGCAGCAGCAGCCAACAACAACAACAACAACAAGAACAACAACAACAACAACAAGAACAAAAAACAATGACCCTTTGCCGGGGGACCCTGTTGGGTCCCCCTCCCACCGGTCACGTACGTCGATTCATTGACTCCGGGGTTTTTGTTTTACCGGTGGGGGGTCCTTCCCGGAGTCTCCTCGAGGTACGTGGGGCTCCTTGGGTTGCCCTTCCCGCTCTGATCTGTTCCTTCGAAACAGCAGGATTTCAGAAGACACGTCTTTTTGTGTGGGTTGCAGAAGTTACATTAGGTAGTTTTGGGGTGCAATTTTGATGCTTTTCCGCCTTTCACTGCCATGGTGCTGGCCCATCCGCCTTTTGAACAGAAGGGATCAAAGGAGCAGGAGCAGCAGCAGTAGCAGCAGCAGCAGTAGCAGCAGCAGCAGCAGGAAACATTTTGATGCTTTTCCGTCCTTCACTGCCATGGTGTTTTCGTTTGGTGTTTTCCTGCCGGAAGGTGATTTTGTCGAAGGCAAGCCGCTGCAGGCAACAGAATCTCTCGAAAAAGGTTGTTTTTCTAGGATTGCAGACGGGACGTTTGGCAGTTTTTTCGCATGGTTTTGGAACTAGCTCGTCCTGCAGAGCCATGGTGTTTTCCTGCCGGAAGGTGATTTTGTCGAAGCTGTTTGATTGCAAGCAGCCGCAGGCAACCGAATCTCTCGAAGAAGCTGTTCTACTGCCAGCAGTCTCGAAAAACGTTGTTTTTCTAGGATTTCAGACGACACGTTAGGGAGTTTTTTAACGTGGTTTTGGCACTCGCTCGTCCTTCAGAGCTATGGTGTTTTCATGCCGGCAGCTACTTTTTTTCGAAGCTGTTCTACTGCCTGCCGGCAGCTGCTTTTTTTCGAAGCTGTTCTACTGCCAGCAGTCTTGAAAAAGGTTGTTTTTCTAGGATTTCAGACGACACGTTAGGGAGTTTTTTCACATGGTTTTGGCACTCGCTCGTTCTTCAGAGCCATGGTGTTTTCCTGCCGGCAGCTGCTTTTTTTCGAAGTTGTTCTACTGTCAGCAGTACTGCCAGCAGCTGCAGGCAACAGAATCTCGTCAAAAAGGTTTCTTTTCTAGGATTTCAGCTTTTTTCGAAGCTGTTTTCTGCCAGTAGCTGCTTTTTTTCGAAGCTGTTCTACTGCCAGCAGTCTTGAAAAAGGTTGTTTTTCTAGGATTTCAGACGACACGTTAGGGAGTTTTTTCACGTGGTTTTGGCACTCGCTCGTTCTTCAGAGCCATGGTGTTTTCCTGCCGGCAGCTGCTTTTTTTCGAAGTTGTTCTACTGTCAGCAGTACTGCCAGCAGCTGCAAGCAACAGAATCTCGTCAAAAAGGTTTCTTTTCTAGGATTTCAGCTTTTTTCGAAGCTGTTTTACTGCCAGTTGCGGCTGGCAACAGAATCTCTCGATCTCTCGAAAAACGCTGTTTTTCTAGGATTCTAGGATACTTTTTTTCGACACTGTTCTACTGCCTCTCGAAAAATTTATTTTTCTAGGATTTCACGCGGGACGTTTCCTGCCGGCAGCCGCTTTTTTTCGATTTCGATGCTGTTCTACTGTCAGCATTAGCAGTCTCGAAAAAGGCTGTTTTTCTAGGAGATTTCAGACGACACGTTAGGTACTGCCTGCCGGCAACTGCTTTTTTTCGAAGCTGTTCTACTGCCAGCAGTCTCGAAAAATGTTGTTTTTCTAGGATTTCAGACGACACGTTAGGGAGTTTTTTAACGTGGTTTTGGCACTCGCTCGTCCTTCAGAGCCATGGTGTTTTCCTGCCGGCAGCTACTTTTTTTCGAAGCTGTTCTACTGCCTGCCGGTAGCTGCTTTTTTTCGAAGCTGTTCTACTGCCAGCAGTCTCGAAAAAGGTTGTTTTTCTAGGAGATTTCAGACGACACGTTAGGGAGTTTTTTAACGTGGTTTTCGTACTCGCTCGTCCTTCAGAGCCATGGCGTTTTCCTGCCGGCAGCTGCAGGCAACAGAATCTCTCGAAAAAGGTTGTTTTTCTAGGATTGCAGACGGGACGTTTGGCAGTTTTTTCGCATGGTTTTGGAACTAGCTCGTCCTGCAGAGCCATGGTGTTTTCCTGCCGGAAGGTGATTTTGTCGAAGCTGTTTGATTGCAAGCAGCCGCAGGCAACCGAATCTCTCGAAGAAGCTGTTCTACTGCCAGCAGTCTTGAAAAACGTTGTTTTTCTAGGATTTCAGACGACACGTTAGGGAGTTTTTTCACGTGGTTTTGGCACTCGCTCGTTCTTCAGAGCTATGGTGTTTTCATGCCGGCAGCTACTTTTTTTCGAAGCTGTTCTACTGCCTGCCGGCAGCTGCTTTTTTTTCGAAGCTGTTCTACTGCCAGCAGTCTTGAAAAAGGTTGTTTTTCTAGGAGATTTCAGACGACACGTTAGGGAGTTTTTTCACGTGGTTTTGGCACTCGCTCGTTCTTCAGAGCCATGGTGTTTTCCTGCCGGCAGCTGCTTTTTTTCGACGTTGTTCTACTGTCAGCAGTACTGCCAGCAGCTGCAGGCAACAGAATCTCGTCAAAAAGGTTTCTGTTCTAGGATTTCAGCTTTTTTCGAAGCTGTTTTACTGCCAGTAGCTGCTTTTTTTCGAAGCTGTTCTACTGCCAGCAGTCTTGAAAAAGGTTGTTTTTCTAGGATTTCAGACGACACGTTAGGGAGTTTTTTCACGTGGTTTTGGCACTCGCTCGTTCTTCAGAGCCATGGTGTTTTCCTGCCGGCAGCTGCTTTTTTTCGAAGTTGTTCTACTGTCAGCAGTACTGCCAGCAGCTGCAGGCAATAGAATCTCGTCAAAAAGGTTTCTTTTCTAGGATTTCAGCTTTTTTCGAAGCTGTTTTACTGCCAGTTGCGGCTGGCAACAGAATCTCTCGATCTCTCGAAAAACGCTGTTTTTCTAGGATTCTAGGATACTTTTTTTCGACACTGTTCTACTGCCTCTCGAAAAAGTTATTTTTCTAGGATTTCAGGCGGGACGTTTCCTGCCGGCAGCCGCTTTTTTTCGATTTCGATGCTGTTCTACTGTCAGCATTAGCAGTCTCGAAAAAGGCTGTTTTTCTAGGAGATTTCAGACGACACGTTAGGTACTGCCTGCCGGCAACTGCTTTTTTTCGAAGCTGTTCTACTGCCAGCAGTCTCGAAAAATGTTGTTTTTCTAGGATTTCAGACGACACGTTAGGGAGTTTTTAAACGTGGTTTTGGCACTCGCTCGTCCTTCAGAGCCATGGTGTTTTCCTGCCGGCAGCTACTTTTTTTCGAAGCTGTTCTACTGCCTGCCGGCAGCTGCTTTTTTTCGAAGCTGTTCTATTGTCAGCAGTCTTGAAAAAGGTTGTTTTTCTAGGATTTCAGACGACACGTTAGGGAGTTTTTTCACGTGGTTTTCGCACTCGCTCGTTCTTCAGAGCTATGGTGTTTTCCTGCCGGCAGCTGCTTTTTTTCGAAGTTGTTCTACTGTTAGCAGTACTGCCAGCAGCTGCAGGCAACAGAATCTCGCCAAAAAGGTTTCTTTTCTAGAATTTCAGCTTTTTTCGAAGCTGTTTTCCTGCCAGTAGCTGCTTTTTTTCGAAGCTGTTCTACTGCCAGCAGTCTTGAAAAAGGTTGTTTTTCTACGATTTCAGACGACACGTTAGGGAGTTTTTTCACGTGGTTTTGGCACTCGCTCGTTCTTCAGAGCCATGGTGTTTTCCTGCCGGCAGCTGCTTTTTTTCGAAGTTGTTCTACTGTCAGCAGTACTGCCAGCAGCTGCAGGCAATAGAATCTCGTCAAAAAGGTTTCTTTTCTAGGATTTCAGCTTTTTTCGAAGCTGTTTTACTGCCAGTTGCGGCTGGCAACAGAATCTCTCGATCTCTCGAAAAACGCTGTTTTTCTAGGATTCTAGGATACTTTTTTTCGACACTGTTCTACTGCCTCTCGAAAAAGGTTATTTTTCTAGGATTTCAGGCGGGATGTTTCCTGCCGGCAGCCGCTTTTTTTCGATTTCGATGGTGTTCTACTGGCAGCATCAGCAGTCTCGAAAAAGGTTGTTTTTCTAGGAGATTTCAGACGACACGTTAGGTACTGCCTGCCGGCAACTGCTTTTTTTCGAAGCTGTTCTACTGCCAGCAGTCTTGAAAAAGTTGTTTTTCTAGGATTTCAGACGACACGTTAGGGAGTTTTTTCACGTGGTTTTGGCACTCGCTCGTTCTTCAGAGCCATGGTGTTTTCCTGCCGGCAGCTGCTTTTTTTCGAAGTTGTTCTACTGTCAGCAGTACTGCCAGCAGCTGCAGGCAACAGAATCTCGTCAAAAAGGTTTCTTTTCTAGGATTTCAGCTTTTTTCGAAGCTGTTCTACTGCCTGCCGGCAGCTGCTTTTTTTCGAAGCTGTTCTATTGTCAGCAGTCTTGAAAAACGTTGTTTTTCTAGGATTTCAGACGACACGTTAGAGAGTTTTTTCACGTGGTTTTGGCACTCGCTCGTTCTTCAGAGCTATGGTGTTTTCCTGCCGGCAGCTGCTTTTTTTTCGAAGTTGTTCTACTGTTAGCAGTACTGCCAGCAGCTGCAGGCAACAGAATCTCGCCAAAAAGGTTTCTTTTCTAGAATTTCAGCTTTTTTCGAAGGTGTTTTACTGCCAGTTGCGGCTGGCAACAGAATCTCTCGATCTCTCGAAAAACGCTGTTTTTCTAGGATTCTAGGATACTTTTTTTCGAAGCTGTTCTCCTGCCTGCCGGCAACTGCTTTTTTTCGATTTTTTCGAAGCTGTCCACTGCCAGCAGTCTCGAAAAAGGTTGTTTTTCTAGGAGATTTCAGACGACACGTTAGGGAGTTTTTTAACGTGATTTTGGCACTCGCTCGTCCTTCGGAGCCATGGTGGTTTCCTGCCGGCAGCTACTTTTTTTCGAAGCTGTTCTACTGCCTGCCGGTAGCTGCTTTTTTTCGAAGCTGTTCTACTGCCAGCAGTCTCGAAAAAGGTTGTTTTTCTAGGAGATTTCAGACGACACGTTAGGGAGTTTTTTAACGTGGTTTTCGCACTCGCTCGTCCTTCAGAGCCATGGCGTTTTCCTGCCGGCAGCTGCTTTTTTTCGAAGTTGTTCTACTGCTAGCAGTACTGCCAGCAGCTGCAGGCAACAGAATCTCGCCAAAAAGGTGTCTTTTCTAGGATTTCAGCTTTTTTCGAAGCTGTTTTACTGCCAGTTGCGGCTGGCAACAGAATCTCTCGATCTCTCGAAAAACGCTGTTTTTCTCGGACTCTAGGCTACTTTTTTTCGACGCTGTTCTACTGCCTGCCGGCAACTGCTTTTTTTCGATTGATTTTCGAAGCTGTTCTACTGCCAGCAGTCTCGAAAAAGGTTGTTTGTCTAGGAGATTTCAGATGACATGTTAGGGATTTTTTTAACGTGGTTTTGGCACTCGCTCGTCCTTCAGAGCCATGGTGTTTTCCTGCCGGCAGCTACTTTTTTCGAAGCTGTTCTACTGCCTGCCGGTAGCTGCTTTTTTTCGAAGCTGTTCTACTGCTAGCAGTCTCGAAAAAGGTTGTTTCTCTAGGAGATTTCAGACGACACGTTAGGGAGTTTTTTAACGTGGTTTTGGCACTCGCTCGTCCTTCAGAGCCATGGTGCTTTCCTGCCGGCAGCTGCTTTTTTTCGAAGTTGTTCTACTGCCAGCAGTACTGCCAGCAGCTGCAGGCAACAGAATCTCGCCAAAAAGGTGTCTTTTCTAGGATTTCAGCTTTTTTCGAAGCTGTTTTACTGCCAGTTGCGGCTGGCAACAGAATCTCTCGATCTCTCGAAAAACGCTGTTTTTCTAGGATACTTTTTTTCGAAGTTGTTCTACTGCCTGCCGGCAACTGCTTTTTTTCGATTTTCGAAGTTGTTCTACTGCCAGCAGTCTCGAAAAAGGTTGTTTTTCTAGGAGATTTCAGACGACACGTTATGGAGTTTTTGAACGTGGTTTTGGCACTCGCTCGTCCTTCAGAGCCATTGTGTTTTCCTGCCGGCAGCTACTTTTTTTCGAAGCTGTTCTACTGCCTGCCGGCAACTGCTTTTTTTCGAACTGCCAGCAGTCTCGAAACACGTTGTGTTTCTAGGCTTTCAGACGACACGTTAGGGAATTTTTGAACGTGGTTTTGGCACTCGCTCGTTCTTCAGAGCCATGGTGTTTTCCTGCCGGCAGCTACTTTTTTTCGAGGCTGTTCTACTGCCTGCCGCTAGCTGCTTTTTTTCGAAGCTGTTCTACTGCCAGCAGTCTCGAAAAAGGTTGTTTTTCTAGGAGATTTCAGACGACACATGAGGGATTTTTTTAACGTGATTTTGGTACTCGCTCGTTCTTCAGAGCCATGGTGTTTTCCTGCCGGCAGCTGCTTTTTTTCGAAGTTGTTCTACTGCCAGCAGTACTGCCAGCAGCTGCAGGCAACAGGCTACATGACACTAATAAGATCCATTGCAGGAGAACTACCTATCCTTCACAGGAGTCCTCCGTTCTGTCTTTTTTCAGATCACTCAACCCTTCGGCCATGCAAGTCAATACCATGACCCCAACATCAAAGAATAAATCTCCATTAGTCTCGCCCATGTACAAGGGCTTGGAAGGTTATCATGTCATGGGACTCAGAAAACCCAACAAATTGCCCTAACATCTCTCATACTTCAGAAAAGGTAATTCCTTTCCGTGGTCGGCGGCAGGGGCGGCAGCCCTTAAATAAATATTATATATATAATATACAGTATACAGTATACAGTCTAAATGTATGCCTTCAAGCTCTGTCTACTAGTACCGACTTCACCGCAAGCCACCAGGAATGAAAGAACTGTCTGGTCCACAGCTCTTGCCTGTTTTCAGAACATTTGTTTCTATTTAAGGGTTTTTTAATCGCAGTATCCTTGAACCTTCGAAAGACCTAGGATTCTGGTTTCCCGAAAGAGTTGGAATACGCTGTGACTTTTGTGCGTTGGTGGACTGCCCGTACTGCTACACCTCCGGGACTTGAGTCCATCAATCTCCATGATGCCATGATGCCATTAAATTCATGAAAGAACGTGAAAGAAACATCTGCACTATATCGCCTATTCTGCATTTATGTCTTGCCCTGCCCTCTGGGTAAGGTGACATCTCATCATGTTGTCTCTCTTTGTTTCTCTGTGTCTTCTCATCTTATCTTCCTGGAAGACTTTAAAATTGCCACCTGCACCAGCACCCAGGAGCGAAGCTGCTGCTGAGCTCACACTGCCACCGCGGCGGCTCACTTTCGCCATGGCATGGGGAGCTGCTACTGGGGTAGCGGTGACAGATGAGTTCAAGCAGAGTCAGGCAGTTTCAGACCTTCAAAGTTTAGAATTGTGGCGTGGCAGCAGAAGCTATGGTGGAACTAGAGAGCTGCTACGGCTGACGAAGATTAGGTCTCACAGTAGTACTGCTTATGAACCAAGTATTCCGGGGCTTGGAAAAGGTGGAATCCAGACCTCGTCTGAAACACTTTTATTTATCGATCCATGATGAATATGAAGGTGTCCCCTAGCTTGTTGGAGGTGAATGTCTACAGTATTATTTTGTTCTTGACCGGCAAGTTTGTTCTCAGCTAAGAGCCAACTTGTGGTGTCGCAAATTGTCCCCTGTTCTGACCTGACGGATCGTGATATCTTGTTATCATGCTGAAACAGGGCACCTCAAATATTGTTGAGCATAGTGCAGCAAAAATGCACGTCATCGTTTTCCAATGGTACTTGGCTAGTCTCCAAGTCTCCAAGAGCCTTTCGATTCCGAAAGCTGCATGGAAGGAAAACATATTGGGGACAAAGGCCTAATGCTTCGTCCGAACTGGCCCTTCCATGAGTTTCTTGCTGAGGATGTTGAACAAACGGAGAATGTACAATGTCTGGAACTTCAGCAACAAAGCCATGGGATGCCACTAACTATTTACACAACCGGACCAACTCAGGCCAGATTTGGCAAAGCTGGTCTCCATCAAAATGCAGCAGCGATAGATAGCACCCTCACCCGGCTGTACCTCGGCACGCGGCACTATCAAAAAATCCCAAGTTTGAGTTTTTCGTGTCATCTTGCAGCTCAAGTCTCAGTACCCCATCATTTTGACCTTTCAGAAACTACAAGGAGGTCGACCAAAATAGACAAGCCTGTTGGAGGCAACCCAATCTAGAGTTGTTTGGAAGTAAATACTTCAAGAAATGTATGGTTGAAGCTCATCTGCTTCATCAGAGTAATAGCCCTATTATCAAGCTGCAAGTACCCTGTCCAAATCGAGCGAGAGGGAGAGAGAGAGAGAGAGAGACAGGCACACAGACAGACAGACAGACAGACAGACAGACCGACCGACCGACCGACCGACCGACCCGACCCGACCGACAGACAGACAGACAGAAGAGAGAGAGAGGACAGACAGACCGACCGACCGACCGACGGACCGACAGACACACAGACAGACAGACAGACAGACCGACCGACCGACCGACAGACAGACAGACCGACCGACCGACCGACAGACAGACAGAGAGAGAGAGAGAGAGAGATGATATACAATATATATATATATATTAATATTAATATATGTTTGACATGAAAGAAACAAATTCACCAAAACTGATCACTAAACAAGGTGCGAGTGGCTGCGGAAGCACAAGGCCAAATTGTATCAAATTGGTCCAAAGAAAGATATGCTAAATTGCTTTAAAGATGTTGAAAGCTCAGAGAAGTGAGAAACTTCGTCACTGCCCCAGGGCTTGACACTGATCAATTTTCCAAAGCCATCTCCAGGCGTCGCGACTCGTCTCTCAGCGAGAACCTCACACATCTCACACTGAGATTCTCCAGGGCCATCTGAATTTTGTTGAGCTGCGTCCAGACAAAAGAAGCCAAAAGAACAGAGCCTCCAGAGTTCGGATAGATTTAATTGATTTAATGATATTTAATGAAGATTTGATGCTACCTGGAGGTTCTGTGATGAAATTGAGTTGCCCTGCCTGCGTTGTGATCCGTCGATCTCGCTTGCTCTGACGCTGACTCTGACCTTGCAGTGGCACTTTGTCTGGTCTGAAAATCAGGGGTTCGGACAGTAAAGTGGAGGGTGTTAGTTAATCTAAGCACAGTGCATATTTCAAGGATCATCTTAATAATCCACACCGCTCGCACTAGTATAGTCTATCGCTGTTTTTGCATTGGCTGGAGATTTTCTCCAGCTACAATGAGTGACATGCGGTAAACTACTCCAGCATGCCTTGAATAGCAAGGTTCTCTGGATCAAAGGCAACTTGATCTATACCAAGACAAAGGCTTTTGTGACTGTCCAAAGAACCCGTGCAATGTTTGTCTGCTCCTTTGCAAGTCTCAAGAAGCTTGAGTTGGGTACGTAGTCCTGGCGTGAGGATCTATCCATCGTTTTGGCTTCTCAAATGCTCTGCTCTCAGAGAGGAGAGTTTCTTACCAAGAGAGTGTTCGCCTACTCGAATCTACCAACTGTAGGACAAATTGGTTGGCTACCTGCCCATCTGCACTTGGTGCGCATCAAAGCTGACGTAAGGAGCGGGCCCTGATGGTGACTGGGCTTGATGGTAGCCAACCTTAGCGACGTCCGTTGAGGCCTCCTAAGCATGTTTCAAACTCGACGCATATCGAGCAACGAATCCTTGTTGAAGCAAAGTGAAGCAGAAGAAGAAGAAGAAGGTCACGAATCTCCAAATATCACACACCAAGTCAATACAAAAATGCCAAGAATTCACATGAATATAATGTGCAGCAATGGGCAGAACTCAATGGCAGCCTGGCTTAGAGTCTGAAGCTACGGGTAGTCATAAGATGTCATAAGGAGCCCAATGTGGTTTCATCCTCCAAGTGGTGGTCTCAAGTACCTGTGCACGGTTCTAATTGAGTTCTACATGTCTACTGAGTCTACTCCTGTCACTTGTCCAACAGTCTAGCAGTTTCTTGTCTGCCTACCGACATCCATCCTAACATTCCTAACTAGCAGCGTGGCCTGTCTTTACGCGCAACATTTGCAACCATTGTGATTTCCATAGTCCAACGCCAGCACCCTCTTTAGAACCACTGGAGACAAACTGAGTCTCTGACCATCGGACTTGAAGGTGCCCTGAATTGACAGAGTTTAAACATGCTAACAGCAAAATCCGACCACTTTGCAATTGAACTCTCTTTTGACTCGCAAGTAAAGCAGTTCAAAACGGTTGCTCGAGCAATAGATACATAGGCTCACCGAGCAATTGTCACAGGCAAATTTATCTCAGCACATGAATCAGCGGAGCCGCATGGAAAGAATCAAGCAAGCCTAAAAAAGTTCCATTGTCTGGAGCGGCAGGGCAATGAATGGGTCTTCACAAAAACGCTCTGGCCTAGTGCCGCGTGGCACAGCAGCACGCTCTTCACATGCTGCGACCTTGGTGAATCTGCAAGTATGTTCAGGTGATGTTCAATTCTGGAATGAACATATTTACTCAAAGAACTGCCTTGTTTAATTAGCAGCAAAACCATCCCCAGTGAGGGCTCTGACTTCTGCCACCCAACCCTTCAAGACAGTGGCTGTGACCCATGCTCAAATTGTGGGGGCGAGACATGCTTTGACAGCGAATACAAGTGCTGAGCAGTCCCAAAAGCGCAACAGGTTCAGTTGTGACATCATAAAGATCAGGATTCCATCACAAACCCCGGTTTTTACTTGTCTATGCGCAATCATTGACCCTGTGGGCTCTGGGGTCCAGTCATTCGACGGCAAAGGGACTTCAGTCTTTTCAAATGCCTTGACAAACCACAAGGAATCTAAACATACCCCCATCATATTTTAATCCTTGTCTGATTATGTTCATATATCATTCATATATATGTATATATATATGTATGTATGTATGAATGTATGAATGTATGAATGTATGAATGTATGAATGTATGAATGTATGAATGTATGAATGTATAAATGTATGAATGTATGAATGTATGAATGTATGAATGTATGAATGTCTGTCTGTCTGTCTGTCTGTATGTAAGTAAGTATGTCATGTCATCTCATCTCATGTCATGTCATGTCATGTCATGCGATGCGATGCGATGCGATGCGATGCGATGCGATGTGATGTGATCTGATCTGATCTGTCTGTCTGTCTGTCTATCTATCTCTCTGTCTATTTATCTATCTATCTATCTATCTATCTATCTATCTATCTTGTCTATCTATCTATCCAAGCATCCATCCATCTATCCTATCTATCCATCCATCCATCCATCCATCGATCTATCTATCTATCTATCTATCTGTCCGTCCGTCCGTCCGTCTGTCTGTCTGTCTGTCTATCTATCTATCTATCTATCTAATCTATCTATCTATCTATCTATCTATCTATCTATCTATCTATCTAATCAATCTATCTAATCAATCTATCTATCTATCTATCTATTTATCTATCTATCTATCTATCTATTTATCTATCTATCTATCTATCTATCTATCTTGTCTGTCTGTCGGTCTATCTATCTATTTATCTATCTATCTATCTGTCGGTCTATCTATCTATTTATCTATCTATCTATCTGTCTATCTATCTATCTATCTATTTATCTATCTATCTATGTGTCTATGTAGCTTTGTATCTTTGTATCTATGTATCTAAGTATCTTTGTATCTATGTATCTATGTCTTTATGTATCTATGTATCTAAGTATCTATGTATCTATGTCTTTATGTATTCGTGTATCCATGTATCGGTGTATCTATGTCTTTATGTATTCATGTATCCATGTATCGATGTATCTAAGTAGCTATGTATCTAAGTAGCTATGTATCTATGTATCTATGTGTCTATGTATCTATGTAATGTATCCATGTATCCATGTATCCATGTATGTATGTATGTATGGATGGATGGATGGATGTATGCATGTATGTGAATATATCTATGTGAATATATCTATAATATATATATATATTAACATATAATATAATATAATATAGATATAGATATATATATATACTATATGATATTATATGATAATATATATATATATATTATTATTACAATTCCGCAATTTGTTCAACATGCCCATCACTGGCAGCATCTGTTTGTCACCACAGCATGCTTATGTTGTGCCGCTGATACATGTGGAATGCTCAAACCGTTCGATTGAGCACACTTGCACTTCGAAGTTCAAGGAAAAAAACAGGCACTTCAAATATTTGCCAGCTCATGAGCTTCCAGTGGCAATCATCCTGCTGGCCACGTTGGCCCCAAGGGTATGAGTGCTCAGAAGGCCAAGAAGGCAGGGAATGCTAAAATAGGCTTGGCTGGCCACGGGGAAAGATTTGGATCTTGAGATTTAAAAGGGAAACGGGCATTGTCATTCATTGTTGAATTAGACCAGTTCAAGAACAAGCACAATTCCGCAATTTGTTCAACATGCCCATCACTGGCAGCATCTGTTTGTCACCACAGCATGCTTATGTTGTGCCGCTGATACATGTGGAATGCTCAAACCGTTCGATTGAGCACACTTGCACTTCGAAGTTCAAGGAAAAAAACAGGCACTTCAAATATTTGCCAGCTCATGAGCTTCCAGTGGCAATCATCCATAGCCATCATCTGGGTCTGGTATGACCGCTTTTTCGAAGAGTTTGCATCAGCTTCTGGGGAAATCTCTTAGATTCCCTGAGGACCAAGGAGTGACGGTGCTCAGGGATAATGTGCCACCTCCGTAAGAGAACCGCATGCTTCTCATATCGTCTGACCGACGATTTCGACTGCCATCTACCTCTTTTCTGTATGGCTACTAAATCCCGTCTCTGGTGAAAGTGATCACAACTTGGTCCAGAATGTCGTAGGACATGAGGCAACATACACTGTGGTGGGTATTGGAGAGCTACTGCCGTGTCATTGAGAATATTTTCATACTGCTGCAGGCTAAGGTTCGGAAAGAGCTTGTTGCGCACATGCTTCATGTAGAGTTCCATCATGTCTCCTATCCACTTGAAATCAGGTACATCTGCCAGAAGAATAGAATCATCAAAGGCCCCAGTCTTAGTTGCCACGCCCAATTCAGAGGGGGCAATGACCAGGCCCCACTTGTGGTACCGACCCACCGAGGGTGCGCTCACATGGGCCTTGGTAAGTGCCAGAACTTCAGAAGGCCGCAGATAGCAATGAAGTTGCAGGGTCATTGCCACGGCTATATCCACGCGCCCAGAGTCTAGCATCCTAGAGGCGACATCGAACACAAATTCCTCCGGAACTGGCAGGCGAGTGGTGCCTGGTTTTCCTTCCTCCATCCAGCTAAGGCTTCTTTGGACTGGGGAAGAAAATCCTGCTTTGGCCCATCATTTCTAAGTAGCTGGAGACCATAGATGAGGTATGCCGCATGGTGTGGCTCAACATCCTTTTCATCATGTAGGTGCCCCAAATAGCTGCAGACATGTTGGTCAAGACGTGCTCTGGTGATCTTCCGGCTCTTTGCCTTCATCCAGTTCTCAAACCTCTCAATTTCCAAATTGTACTTGTCCAGGGTACGCTGAGTGACCTTCAAGGCCTTGAGTCGGGTGGCACCCGAAAGGGCCCGGCCTGACGGTCCAACCCTAGACGGCAATTTCTGTCTGGAATCTGCCCTGGATCTCTCGGACTTCTTGGCTTGTGTGCTGTCCGAAAAGAACCGGCTGAGTCCGGATGAACTGTTGGGCTTCGGGGATGGCATCTGAGTCCTCAAAGTCGTGGCCGCTTCGAACAGCGCATCTGGCAGCTTGAGCAGTTTTGCGACATGATCGCTCTGCAGCCTCGACGAGGGCTGAGTTGAAGGCATAGCTCAAACCCCTAAACTGGGAAGTCGAAATAGGATCATGCACGGGATGTAAAAAATTTGCTACTAGGCTTGCCCATGTGGTACAGAGATCTCTGGGGTACTCTCCTGCAAATGAAGTTTTGGTCTGTGTCACATGCTTGCCATTCACCCTCCTAGTCTCTGAGCCACGCAATTGTTCATGTACATGCTGTCCGTCACAACGTCGATGCAACTGGATCAGGTCTGGGATGTTGGTAAGAATAGCCGAAGGTTTCTTATACGCAGCCTGGTACATGCACATGTGCCATTGAACAAAGAATACTCCTTTGTGCCTGAATAGATCATGTATAAAAGGAAAATCCCATAGACGACTGTTGAGGGGATTCTCAATGGTGAAGTACTTGCCATGCCTCAACAAAATCCTAATACATCTCGCCGTAAAAATAGCCAATGCCACCCCTTCTGCTTCAGCTTGCCTAGCTTTCTTCCAGTTCACCAGATTGTGCCGTGCTCTTGAGAAGACTCGACATACTGTACCAAAATGAACATAGTCTACTTGTCTGGAGGCCAACAATCGAAAAACAACCCTCTGAGTGCTCTTCCGAAGCAAGTTGTGCTGCTTGCCCTTTTTCAGCTCCATGTCGGCCAAGCACTTCAGCCCGGCTTCTTTGAGCGCCAGGGTCAGTCCAGCACGACCTGAGAAGACCTCCAAGCAGACACCCTGATTGCTCTTGGCCTTTGCAAACTTTGGTTCAGGGCGAGGTTCAGCCGGAATTTCAAACTCCGGAATCGGCACATGACCATATCTGAAACTACCTAAACTGTCAGTTTGTGGACCAGAAACAGAACTGAATCTCCTACTAGGTGCGTCGGCTACGTTCAATTCTGACTTAACGTGACGAATCCTCCACTGAATGCCTCCCGCAATTTCATATGCTGCTGCGCGGCGGCATAAAAAGTTGAGCTTGGCACTGGAACTTCTCCCTTTTTCTAAAACAAGTGCACAGGTAAGGTTATCTGTAATAGACAGAGCCACTGAACCCAAGTTTGCCCTCGATCTGCACAGTCGGCGCAGCCCCATCAAGAGTACTCTGCCTTCTTTGAGGTTAATGTGTTCTGACTCATCCTGCCAAGCCTTAGCCGTTAGAAGTTTCCATCTATCTGGCATAGACCATCTCTGAGAAATGGGAGGAATGGCAGGTCCTCGAATGATGGTTCTGTCTTGTGCTCTCTTTCCCGGTTTGAAGAGATCCCCTTTGGGGTTCTGTTTCCTTGAAACGCAACTCCTACCATACTGTGTCTTAAGACCCACTGGGAGTTCTGCTGAAGAACCTATGTAGTGAAAGCATTGCACATCATCTTCACTCAAATTCAAATCTCCGTGTCGAGCACTGCTCTCTATCATGAGGCTCCCAGGCACGACCTCATCACTCTCCACAAAACGCCACTTCTCCCGATCCCTCAAAGCCTCCCTAACTTCAGTGCTAGTGGCCGAAGTGACCATCAGGGAATAGCCTGCATTTGAAGCATCACCTAAATGAACCTCCTTACAAGTAGGGGCCCCCAGGTCAACCTCAACCGCAAAAACCAACCCCAACGCCAATCGTAGTTCCCTCCTAACGCTCGGCCACATCACTGCACGATGATGCCCATGGTCAGCTATGAATCGGTAACATGCAGAGAAAATGGACAATCCGGATCTAGCCAGTTGAAAATGGTGAACCAAGTGTCCCATAACGATCTGCAAAAGTCTTCCATGAAGTCTATGACGCTTTGAAAGTTCATGAAGAGCCAACCACAACCTCCAAGATCTACGGTGTTTGGGCCTAGCCAGCATTCTCTCCCTGAAATCCAGTGTAATGCCTAAACTATCCGTTACCAGTTGTTTCTCCACATGGTCGGTGATGAATGGAATACCTAGCTGAGAAAACCGCTCCTCAATGTACTGCATACGATCTGATGCCCCGCCCATAGAGCCCGAAAACACATGAATATTGTCCACATAAACTCCGACGGCTGGTCTATCCGGCAGAACATCCGGGGCCCTGGCCCGGTCCCTGATAATATCATCTGCAGCAAATTGTCGGTGTGCGGTTGCTTGGTGAACAATGGACTCATTTGCTAAAAACAAGGCCCAACTCCATCCCATGGGTAACCCCCCAAAGCAGGGAAAACCATATCTGTTGGAGAAACTGCTACATACTGGTGAGTGGCGTCGTCAAAGATCTCATCAAAGGCAAAACCTAGATCCCAAAGATGCTGAACCGAGAATCGGTCATCAAATGCGAACCAGCTAGCTAGTTGGTGGATCTGGAAGTTGTAGAAGCAGTCCGACACATCACCCGCCTCAAAACAAGGTCGGTACGAAGGTGCAAACGGCTCACCAAACCCATGGCTCTCGAGGGTCTCAGGACTCAAGTCTAAGCTGAGCATGCCAGCAGCCGTTGAAAGCTGGGCTTTCGGAGGTCGATGGTGGCACCAGTTAGCCTGACGAGCATCCACTATCAAGCGCTGCATGCCATCCTTCTTTTTGACCGCAAAAATGCCAGCTCGCGCCTTGCGACGCTTCCTGAAAGTCAGTAACCCACATTGCCACAGGAGATGGTAAAGCTCCATCCGTCGCGCAGAACTTCGTTTCAACCGAGGATCCCAGTAAGGTTCAGGCATAGTGTCATCCTGCCCCTTTGCTTCTAACTCCGCTTCTGGTCTCTCAATGAACTCCTGAAAGTGTTCCACATAGGCCCTGGCATCAGGAGGTAGGAGTTGATGTGCAGGTGTAGGTTTGAGCCGTCTATGAAGTATCTTGATCTTCGCGGCATCAAACTCAGCCAAATGGGCGGCCCCCTGCGCATACAGGAAATCATCTGAGCCAAGCTCTCTCAATGCTGAGGGTCCATCAAGGTCACCGGGCATCTCGCCGCAAGCACTGATTCGCCTGGTCAGGTCATCCAACATCCATCTCTGTACATCGGTCATGGAATAATTGCTGGATGGAACGGTGTCTGAAAAAGGTACTGCAGCGAGGTCATTCAAAGAACGGAGACATTCGTCTACTCGCCGTGGCAGTGAATCCACCGAATGTTGCGGCACCAAGTCGCCCCGAAGACGAGGCAAGGGAAATGGGTCGCCATGTTTGCGGTGGATGCTCTTCCGTTGAATTCGAAACATCTCATGCAAAGCCACTTCTTGGCTGGATCCCGAAGACATTGTGACCTCGGCGGCCAGATCCAGCCTGGCGCCCAAGTTTAGGCACCAGACCCGGCCGCACCAGCGGCCGGGTTGCTGTCCTTCTTCTTCTTGCGCTTGCCTCCTCCTTTTCCGTTGTCTTCCTCCTCTGAATCATCATCGGCTGCAGTGTAGCGTGGGTCTCCACGTTGGAAACGGCGCTCTTGTTTGAAAAGGCGCTCCTGCCGCCACAAATTGGCGCGATCCTTCATCTTTGAGGAAACCCATTCCACGAACTTGTGCGCCGTAGCGCGGCCGTCTGCTGAAACCACTGCCCCCGACATAATGTCGAGCCCTTCATAGTTGGGTTGCTGGGGCGAGCGCTCCACTGCAAGCTCCACCTGGATCAACCATCTCGTGGCATGCTCCAACGAGGCCAGAGCGGAGGAATCGACTTGGTCATAATGATGGGCCAATCGCAACATCTCACACAAGCACTGATGGATGAAGGCTGCACTTGACTTCCGGGAAACACCACTCAATCTGACCCATTCACTGTGGTAAGACGTGAAATTGCCAGCACCTTGAGCCACAGCATCATGAAATTCAAATGCGGCTCTGGTCCCTGTCACCGGGAAATCCTCTTCCTCGCCACCCTTCATCAGAGAGACGGCTGTGGTGAGATCCAACCGACGCTTGCCTGAAGAGTCACGATGGTCACCCAAGAGGCGGACGTCCATCCCAAGGGCTTTGCGAGTCTTCTTCCAGGTTGCGAGCTCATGCAACGGCACCCTCTCCACAAAGACCTCTTCTCCATTCAGCTGAATCACACCTTTCGTGGCAAAGGCAAGGCCAGTCGCCTCATTGTTCAAGAGGCGTAAGTCAATCTGCTCTCCAAAGTCAGGACGGCCGGATTCTTGGATGACCCAGGCATAAGTCTCTGAGTCCGGCAAGGTGCCCTCACCCAAAATCACAGCCATAGTGGAGGCCTGACGCTTGTAGCCCTGCAAGGCGGCATTCCCAATCACATCGTGGGCATAGATCTCTCCAGCAATGTCGGCGGGAAAAGGTGCCGCCCTATCGAGGACCCGATGGGGGATAGCTGACAGGTCATGGCGCTGAATCTCAAGGTCTGGAGTCAAAGTCAGCCATGTGGAGCCTTCAATGCGGCAAAGAAGAACTCTATGATGCCAATTGAAGCCATCGGCATCCCCTGGGTAATTCACTAACACCTGCACCTCCTTGATGTCCAACGTGACATCAGGATCCATGGATGCGTCTCAGGTCTGACGGCCGAGTAGGCCTAGTTTTCACCAAAGTTTTTGGGTTCAAGAAGCCACCAGTCGAAGATCCAGAAAGTCGCCCAGATGGGCTAGAGTCAGGAATGTCAGAATCCGTTGAGGATCCCGTGTCACCACTCGGAGCAGCCAAGGCCAAATTGGCCCGCACAGGTCGAGAGAAAAACACTATCCAAACCCCAACCACTAAGTGAAGAACCAATGAAACTTTCAAAAGGATATCGGTACCCCACAATTTCCAAGCACACTTTCCTCCCAAGTCCTCTGCTATTCTCACCGAGTCCCGTGTCAATTGCAGGTCGTAGCGAAGTTGCTCGATTTCCAGAGTAACAGGGGCCTGGGCAGGACTCTTCAGCTCGTGGTAGAACGATGCGCTGATCCAGGTGACCAATAACCAAGCGACGCGCATGGAAGGTGGCACCCAGGGAAAGATTTGGATCTTGAGATTTAAAAGGGAAACGGGCATTGTCATTCATTGTTGAATTAGACCAGTTCAAGAACAAGCATTATTGTTATTAGTATTGTTATTATTATTGTTATAATTATTAAAAATTATTATCATTATATATGTATATATATACACAATTATACACATATATAATGTGTGTATTATACATAGTGGCTTTAACTAGGCAAGGTATACGCCACTACTCTCGGACCCCATTGTTCTCAATCTCGGTTCATGGCAGAAGGAGGCGGTGCCGGAGGGGGTGCCGGAGACACCTGAAGCGCCACGCTGAAGGACTTGACTCAACCAACGGGCCTGTTCTGAGCTAGAACCATTGTATGCATGTGATATGATGCCTATGTTCGTTCATCTGTTGGCTAAAGCCTGTCTTTCCACTGTCTCTCAGACCCTTGGCACATCTGCCTTTCTTTGAGGCCCTTCCTGGATGACCTTCAGGAGAAGCATGTTGCAAGCTCAGTCTTTGTGAAACATTGTTTTGACATGTCTTGACAGCTCCAATAGCCAGGTCTGCGAAGTTTAGATCGGGCTGATTGGATGTGGACATGCATTAATGGAACTGGATGGACAAGCTGAATGATCCCCTATCTGCGGTCTGGTAACAACCGCATGTTGAATTCTTTCTACTCCACCTTTGCATGTGCAAAGTCCGTAAATAGTCAAAACAAGTTGAATATGATTGAATATGATTGAATATGATTGAATATGATTGAATATGATTGAATATGATTGAATATGATTGAATATGATCGAATATTCTGATTGAATATGACTGAATATGATTGAATGACACATGTTGAATCGAAAACAAATGAAACTTTCAGATACTTTCAGGCTGTTCACAGCTGGGGGTGCCTCTGGCGGCGGCCAGTTGTAACTGCGCTTCATCGAGGCTGCCATCACAGCGTTTTCTACCTCACGAGCCACAGTGGCTGACACATTCACAGGATCCATTCGATCATTAGAATCCCGGTTGCTGTTGAACCACGGAGTTTGATTGTTGTCATTGGTGTTTATGTGTAATCAGTTGTTTAGTGTTCAATTGTGTTCATGTGTTTTCATGTACTTTCTGTTTTTCATTTGCCATGGTTGATTTCTTAGAAGGCCCATCTACTGTACTCGTACCAAATGCTAGGGTAAGTGCCGCAGCATGTCAAAACGCAGACCAAGAAAACAGGCCAGGTCGGTCAAAAGCAAAGTTGTCACACAGCACGATCCCAGAATACAGGAGCGAGCTGAGATGAGAGAAGAAAGTACCACTACGCATGTTCTGAGAGTCTGTTACAAGCAACTGCATTAACTTCTCGCACGCCTTCTGCAATCTTCTCCAAGTGGAGATCTCTTTGTCCTGATCTGATCCGTTTGAATGGACTTGCCGGAAATATATTGGCTTCACGTCACGCAGGTTAGATTTGAGATTCAAAGCAGAACTTCTACGCAACACGGTGGACTTTACATGACTTTACGAGGTTGTTTTGTGGACGAAGATAAAGCCTACTGTAAGCCCTGCTAAAGCCTGTTTAAGGCTCAGATGGCTCAGATTTATTACAGAAAAACTGCAATTCGACCAGAGCATGTCCTCAACTTCATTCTCAATGTCATCACCGGCTGAAAGAATGCCCAAACTGGCAGGGGATTGACCAAGCGACATCTTTCAGCTGATACTCTCAGTCGTCTTGAGTTTTCGACATTTATATATCAAAGTGTTTGAATAGCAAAATGATCCACATCACACTTTCCTTGCCCTGAAGTCACAAACCTTTCTCCACACAGCTACTAAAACTAGTACACAACTACTAAAACTACTAGTCCTCGGAGCAGTTCATGTCAATTCTAGCTCCTGCCTGTGCCATACCTGTCTCTTTGTATCCTCCACCTGCACGGATGTGCACGGTGAGCACTGGAAGTACTTTGTGTCTCAATGTGTCTCAATGTGTCTCAATGTGTCTGAAGGCGAAGAGCGTCTAGATGCGTCTGGTAATGTCTAGTAAGCATTGCATGACAAAGCACAGACGCCCTTCAATTGGTGCTTTGCCCCATTCCACCTTTTATGAAAATCATAAATCAATATAAATCATATCATGCCCGTCATGCCCTAGTTCTGGTTGTGCTTCCACATCTTCCACTCTCTGTTGGGTCAAATCTGGTCCCACCTGGTGTCAGTGCTACAAGTTCAACGGCAAACAAAATCGAAGTGACAGCCCAAAGCTTGGAAAATGAAACAGCTTCGGATTGCACTCATACCTTCCTAAGTCATACATGTAAAATTTTGCCAAACGCTACGTCCGCGGAAAAAGTATTATCTAAACTCTAAACTCTAAACTGTCTCTCAGAAAAAAAAGTAGAGGACCTGCTTGTGAACCGGCCTTCTGGCTCACACTTCGCCATGCATGCTGCCAGGGTTTCAGCTGCTTACTGGTAGCATTGACCTGGCAAGGATTGGAACTCTCTGTTCAGCCATTCGGAGGTTGCGTGTTGGCAGTGTCAAAAATGCAAAGTGCAAACCCGCTCATAAACCTGTTCATGGTCTCAAATTGGCTCGATTCAAAAGGTGTTCAGAGAACTGTTGCAGAAGCTGAGAATGACTTTGAAGATACTGCTCATCATGTGGATACAGTAATCAACACTACTTCCCAAAATTGAGTTTACAAAGAAAAGAAACGGTGTTTGCAAGATCACTTGTTATCGGCCTCCCAGTAGCTTTGGGTCGGTCCAGAGATACCCCTGGCAGCGGCAGTTGTGTTGGAAATCCATGCGTCGGATCAACTTAGCTCGCGGGAGTCCATGCACTCAATGGACCACTCAAACCATGTTGCGTTCAAAGCAAGTTCATGAAGCCTACATTAAGCAAACACGGGGATTGATGTTCAAAAGGTCCTGCCACTTTACCACGTGTTTTTTGTGATTTAGACTCCTTGGAAAGGATGAAATAGGTTGAATAAGAGCTACATAGTAAGCTACATAGTACAAGTAGCCTCCAATGATCTCCACTGCAGGGAGACCGTACGAAATCACTACTTCTTTTCTCCCACAGATTCACAGGGCCTTTTTGACGAAGGTAATGGAGAGGTACAACATGGTACAACAGTGCAAAATAGTGCAAACAGTGGACAATTGGTGAAACATGGTGAAACTACAGGGTCCTTCGACATTGCGCCTAGTCCACCATTGCTTCTGGGTGTGAGGAGTACCATCCTGCACCTTTCCAGTGCGACAAACATGGTCAAGAATGGTGATACGCGAAACCCACAAGACTCACGAAACAACATGAAAAAGCATGAAACAACATGAAACAACCAACTACATCCATCTGCGACATCCGCATGACGTGGGGCACTGGGATCCTTGCCATCCATGACTCATGACCAGCTCTCTGCAGGTAGTGGATCAAATCGACCCGGTCCTGGCCAAACTTGTCCCCAAACACGTTGCGAATCTTCATGGATCATGGACCTTCAAATTGGAAGGATGTATGCAGATCAGTAGTATCATATCATTTCAGGTTCATATCAGTATCATTTCAGGTTCTATCATGTTCTATCAAGCATTCTGGGGCTACATTCTATCAAGCCAACAAGAAAATGCTTTAGTGGCTCAGCTTGTTGGCCTTCGCTGCCAAGCAAAATTGAACCATCAACCAGACCAGTCTTGCAAGGACTTACACACCTCCTGCCAAACAGGGGCTGCATGTCAATTCACCATGTAGCAGGTACTGCTCCGAGGAGTCTTGCATACTTTGATAGGGTTCCACCTTAAGATACAATCATGATCAAATATCATCACTAACACTATATTCAATACATAATGCGTCTTGCTTGGCTGCTGGCTGCTTTTATGTAGCAACCTGACCTGCCAGCTCTCAATGCCCCGGAAGTTCATGTTGATGACACCGCCCACAAACGCTTTGGGATTCTTCAGGAATGCCATCATGTTCCTGCGCACATCACGAAAGTGCCGATTCTTGAATGGTCGGCAAATGTTGGCAATCAACTCGCTAGTTTGTTCATCAAAAAGGCAATATACAAATGTAGTATCTTGTAGTCTGATGCTGTCCGGCACTCGACCAAGCTGACACACGATACTGAAAATCAAAGATCGTAAAAGAAACGCGGAGGTTGGTAGCGATCCGATTTTCCAGATTCGTCAAGTGAAAGGCACCTTTCGGTCCAAAGGATGCCGCTGGATTCGAGCTTAGTGGAATATTTCGCCCAGCCTGACAGCGTCACAATGGGAGACCGTCTGAGACGGTTGCATCGGTAAAAGCATGTAGGCAGCGTTCACTGGCCACAGCCGATACTTTGGGTCCTGCTTCTGGACACATTTAAAACATTTTAAAACGCATTTATGATTTATGCTGCGTCATGATTTTCCCGGTTTCCTTGACAGCTTGATATTTGAACCCTACTCCTCTCTCTCTCTCTCATGTGTGAATGAACAAGAGCTTGCGTGAACAAGTCAAGAGAGATATTAATCATTCTTGGTCGCCTCTACTTTTGAAATCAGCGATCGCCTGATCTTTGATTCATGGCTGCGGTACGGCCCATCACACCATAGAGGTTGGGCCCCAATAAAGTGCCTCAGGAAGTCATGTCGTCGTTCGTATGCAAAACTCGAGATGGATTTGGGTTGAGAAAGCTCCCCTGGGACAAAGACACTAAAGACACCAGCTCCTTGCTGTGTGCAGACAGCCCTGTCACCCTTGTAGCGACCACTACTTATGTTCTGCTCTGAGGGTCAGTCTACACTGTTTTTCTTTCCCACAAAACGCATAAAAGAGAAAACACAAAATGGTTCCTTTGCGAAGGGCACCAAAGGCTGATGGCTGCTGTGGTCCAAACAGAGCTAAACATATTCAAAAATCACGTTTCGAATTATTGAGTGGCAGAGTTGCATGTTTTCCACTTTGTATCTCCGCTTCCTCATCCTAACCGATTCTAACCTTGTTACCAGCAACAGCTAAGCACGATCAGTTGATGCTCTGAGACCTGAGCCGTAGGGATTTGTCCCATCTCTTCGGATCGTGTGACACCTCGCCCACACTGCGTCACTGCACGCGCATCTGTTTGAATCGTACCGTACGGGACACCATGCGACATCAAAGAGCGCTGAAATGCATCGCAAACCTATAACAAAGAGTAACCGCGTAGCTACCTATGGATACTTATTAGCCAAATATTAGCCTATAGGGGTCTTGGAAGCCTTTGGTTTGCCTTGCTCTTCATGTCCTGACCGTCAGAAGAACGATCTTGTGCAAACTCAGGTTCCCGCTGGGCACAATGCTTCCTTAGAAGATCGAAGACTTGAAAGATTCCTGGCTCGACCTTGGCCTTGCCTCCCCAAGGCAAAAATGACTCCTATCATTCAAGCTACAGCAAGTTACAGCAGCACTGATCATTGTGTGTCTAAAGCAAGCATCTGCCTTCTCGAATGACAAAGGAGAGTACATCGGACAATGGCAGGCGGGTGCCAACAGTTATACGATCCATCCATATCCATCCGAGGTTCTTGAAAAGCAGCTGGCCGCGGACAACGTTTCCTCCAGTTCCGGCGAGAAGTTCTCCAACGAATCTGAGACTAGTCACTCCAGCTGTGCACTTGACACATCTTGACAGAGGAAAGTGAAGAAGATGGGAAACCAGCGAGGGGGATTTTGAATTTACTCAGTCTACTGGTCATATGAATAAACAATAATAAACATCTTTCAGACATACCTACCAATCATCGTCAATCGTCAATCCTTCTGGTAAGACGAAGTCGTCCGGAACGTCAATGTCATCGAAGGGTTTGGGCCTGACAAGGCTCAAAGTTCCGCGCAGGACATTGTAGGCACGCTGTGGGAGCAAGCTAGATGTATCACTTGTGTCTATCTTTCTCTCATTGACCTTGATACCTGCGGCAGAAAACCAAATACAGAATCAGGGAGTTCTCGAAATTGGAGCGATGCAAACTGAAGCATTGGAAACCGAGAAGATCTTCGAAATTTCTCCCAAGTGGAAACGATAAATACCAGAAACCATTAGTTGCGTTCAAATTGCCTGTGTTTTGGCTTGACTTTTGCTCGCTCGCACACTGGAGCGAGCAAATTGCGGTCATGTCGATGCACTCTATCCATATGACCAGGTTCCATACACTTTTCTGCGGGGGCCTAAACTTCCAAATTGCACCAAGACCAGCAATCAAAGCATCTTGCCGGGAAGCCCCACACCGGCATGTCTGAAGCTGAAGCTTAGCCCAGCATGGCTCAAGTCGAGTTGGAAAATTGGCTCTGATCCATGTTGATGGTTGTGAATCATACTAGTCTGCAAATATTGGTTTGCCTTCCTGACAAGCCAAACTGAACAAAAAAAAATGATTGGCACCTGATTGACGACAAGAGGGGCACTCAAAAAAAGGGCCGGTCGAAATAAAGACAATCTGTTTTCTTTCAACTACGGCACTGGACTTGCAACACGCTCTCGTAGAAAGGCACCATTGTGTGTCCGTTTTCAATGATTTCGAAAAGGACCAAAAAAGTTAAATGCTCAAATTTGGTTGTCCTAGTGCTAAAGCCATCTTTGACTGCGGGCACGTACACTTCGATTGACTAAAGACAAGATTTGGACGGAACGACCTTGGTGAATCCATGTGAGAGAAAAACAGGTGCTAGGAGTCGATTGGACAAGACTCACCTGACCGCCTCATCCGTTTGCTTTCCATTAAAGGCAAACCTTGCATCGGTATGCATCGGTTGCATATGGTTGCATGCTAAATCACTAAATCACTCCGCCAACTGCGGCTTTTTGAAGTCTCTTTCGTCGGACTCTTAGAGACGAAGTGGCCAGTTCCACCTTAGTTTGTGTGTCAAGAAAATGCAAGGAGTCTGTGATGTCTTTGCTGAAACACTGCTCAGTCATCATGTTTTGGCGTTTCCAATTATATATATATATCAAATTTTGGAAAAGTGTTCTGCTGGAGGAAGCCTTCTAGTTTGACTTGTGCAATTTGCGTTGACATGGTAAGTGTAGTCAGTGTTCAAACGTGCAAACATTAATAAAATCTGAAAGCGAACATAAAAAGTACAGTTTTGTGAGAAAGTTCACAAAAGTCTCCAGCCTTCTTCTGTTGGACATTGATGTGTCGAATGTCGTCTTGATTCTATGATATTCTATGTTTGTTCGATCTTTGCCAGCTCTTTCCGGTATTCTTTTCTGGTCTCAGCCACGTTTCTCATCTCCATCGACTGGTGAGCTTCATGTAAAAATGGCGCGATTGGCCACTGTGTCCTTGAAACGTCTGAGACGCCAGGAGTCTAACCGAGTCTAGCCAGCATAACACGCGCAACGCCTTGTCACAATGAAAAATGCTCCAAGTTTCAATGCTAACTTGTCGTCCAAGTAGAAAGCCCAGGCCCAAGAAAAGTACCGTGGGTGGCCTCTCCTTTACCTCCAAGACTCCAAGCTTTCGGAAAATGATGGAAAGATGCGGCGACGCCGTCAGGTCTTGAATTCGAAACTGCTTCATACATGCATCCCATGCACCACTCCCATTGCCCCCACGTGAGCTGATCTGCAGGCAGACCTGCCTTCGTGGCTTCCGTTGGCTCTGCCCATCCCATGCCTGGATACTAGGTGAATGTTAGTATCTGAACACACAAACAAAAATCGACATGACATGACTAGATTTCTGTCATATCTGCGAGTGACACACCTGTCAATTATAATTCAATTTGACATAATTAAAGGAATATCAATGATGCCAGGTTGCTCCACGGTAAGAAGCTCAGTGTGCAGTGCAGGGTGTTTCAATTTGATTGCAGGTACTGCATCGTCCAGTTTCCGAAAACATAGATCATGATTCTATTCGAACGTTGCTTAGAGGCAAAAATTGCGGAAGCATGTGTAAGTTAATGGAATTGTGATATCAAGATATATCAAGGACAGTTGCCATTGTTGCCATGCTGCTATTTCCATGGTTGGCTCAAGATCATATGCATTTCTTTATATTTCTTTCCGCACCTTGCTGACCTTCATCCAAAGAACTCCCGGAAGGTGAAGAGAGCAATTCCGCATCACAACCGGCAGCTAACTCCTTGAGTTTGTCAATTCCACAAGACCAGTCCCGGAGAGCCAGAGAGAAGAAAATGAAGAAATTGGTGCCCGATTCTGACGATGTTCACTTCTTTATCAAATACCTGTTGGCAAAAGCTAAGGAGGGTCAAAATGGACCAACAAATTAAATTCTTCAAAAAAGGAGGACTGCTTGACCTCGAGTCTACGTAGATCCACAAGGCCCAGATTCAAGTTTCTGAAGCACAAGAGGCCAAGAACAACGGCAGCAAATTGATGCAGTTTGAATTGAAGATAAGCATCCACCGTAGGATACACATTGCGACCAGTATTTAAGGAGGCGGGAGAAGCCACCTGCACGCACAAGCAACATAGGCAAAACAAACAGAGACTTCTCTGATGCAAGATGCAAAAAGCACATCTACTTACACCGTCATGATTAATGCTGCCTACACTCTGTCTGATCTGTCTGGCGTCAAACTGCCTCTTTGCCATTCACCCTCCATGTGACAGTGCCAGAACCATCATCCGCAAGACGACACTCGACCAGATCCTTGGAGATTTCGGCTCATTACAGCCGCACTCAGTGCTTCATGAAACTACATGAAACTGAATGTCTGCTGACGTAACGTAGCTATAGTGCTTCTAAGTTTCACCTGGAATGAGTTTGCCTGGCATGGGAAAACAGTATCGGAACATGATCATAAGTGAATCTGATTCTGAAAGCGCAACTTGAAAGATGCAGTTGCTCTTTTGTACAAACTCTGTCCAAATCTCTCCAGAACTGCAAGTAGGAAAACGAGACCTGTGAAGCCAACTTTTCATCCTAGCAAGGACCTCTTGTCAGAGCCCGCCTTCTGTGCCATATGCGGCAGTGTCCTTCCGAGATCGCAGACTGCGAATGACTGCGACACATCTGAAAGGTAGCAATGGATTTAGCACTTAAGTATATGAACAGTATATGAAGTATATCTGCCATATGTCATTCGGTTTGCATTGTAGATGGGTCCCATGTCTGTGCCATACAGTATTATGATATGGCGTACTGGCTGTGGAAACACCATCCTGGGTGAGGCGTTCGGTGAGGCGAGCGCCACGAGGTGCTAACCCCACGGAGCCGTTGCACGGCAAACGGCCTGCCAAATGCTCCACAGCGAAATGGTTACGAAAAGTGGAACATGTAACAAGTTGTTCAAAAGTTTGATTCAAAGTGAAAAAAAAAACAAAAAATGAAAGAGAAAATCAAAGGGGTAAAGAAAATGTGCAGATTACTGACTGGAAGTGACAAAGGTGTGCCAACTCTAGCCTATCTATGCCAAATCTATGCTGTGTGGTTTCCACTGGCCTGGTCCAGATGGAAGCAGCCTGACCTGAGCTACGCATAGCTACACTATGCTACGCTGGATTCTAAATCTGGTGCTTCGGCTTCAAGGCAAGGAATGCTCTTTTTGGTAAAGGGAGGTTTATGTTTTTTACATGCAAAAAAATATTCAGATGTTGGGCCTCCGGAAGGACTTTCTGCACTAGTTGAGAAATCATTACCAAGTGGAAGACCAGCTGGATTCATGGGCACATTCTCTGAAAGCCAGTTGCGATCGGCGATGATCGGCGATCGCTGTTGAATCTCATGAATTTTTCAGAGTCTTAGGATTCTTCTGGATTCTTAGGCAAGTGCCAAGAACCGATCTCCTCGACTCACAGGCCTGGAAGGACTCGAAGGACATCGAAGGACCAATCAAATCAAATCTTGCGTGACTGGCTTTGCATTGGTGTGATTCGGTCTGATTTAGTGTGATTGCCCCCATTTAAAAAGCATAGCATCTCGGTTGCAGGGACCAACTCCGCCCAAGAGCAAAACCTGACCTGTCTGCTTGCACCCATCCAATGGAAGCACTTGGTGCCTCTATGGACACGGGAGGAGGAGAAAACACGCAATGGTGTTGCAATTTCTGACACTCAAGTTGATCAAATAATTATTGGACGACTTAGAGGCTTGTAGGATCTTGTACTGTACGTCGTATGTGTAGCAGGTATGATGTCCAATACTAGTCTGGTTTGAATGACGTCCGATACTAGTCTGGTCTGAGGCATAGAGACGATGCATTCACCAAACAACCCGATTGCTACGAGTGTCTCAATGGGCAAGAGTGCCACACTAAATGGGAAAACCTCAAAGCTTACCGCATGGACAAATGGAGGCACAGCAGTTGTCTTTTGAACATTTTGACAACCAGATGTTCCAACATTTTGCCACTTTGGCCATTCCGTTTTTAGATGTTTTTAGAATGTTTAGATATGTTCAGAGGTGTGGAGGCCTGGGCTATGAACTTCCCATCGCGCAACTTCATTGGTTGAGCACCCGAAAGACCTGCAAGCCGAGTATGGTCATAACAATGCACTTCGCAGTCGTTGAGCTTGACACCAACTTCTACTGAAAACAATGAATGTGTTGGATGTGGATGCTACCGATCTGTTTCCTTTCTTGAGTTGACTTGTTGTTCATCGGAACTTTCAAGGCAAACCCGTGCGGTCAGTATACTCAATTTTGTAATGAAAGGCAGCCCCGCGTCATTGATGGCTGGTGTTGACTCTGGTTAGGCCCTCGCTTGCGTTAAGCCCAGTTTGTGCATGGAACTGAATGTCTTGCATAATCAACTTGCGTATGATCCTTAAGGACCTTGGAAAGACCCACTTCACCTTGTCCAGTCCAAAGTGCTGATGCTTCTGCGTTCATGCCTCGGCAGGGAAACTCGGGCTTGGACGGAGAGACTTAATTCTTGGGAATACAAGCGCATGAAAGCAAGTCCTAGTCCAAAATAGTCCAAAGTTATCAGCTAAGGAATCACTTGTGAAAGAAATCAATTTGAAGCCGTGCTTAGGGAGCCTTCATGTGCATTTCAGACTGTCATTGAAATTCCGTCGAGACGCAATGCCAAGATCACTACCGTAACCTTCTAGACTCAGCCCAAGGATCCCAAGGATCCCAAGGATCCCAAGCGCTTGACATGGCTTGACATCTAAAATCATCTCGGCTCACAATGACATGGGTTCAGCATCGGTAGCATCGGGCCTGACGGTTCCGGCAACGCAGTGACAATATCCTTGGCTCCAACTCAAAGTGCTCAAGTCGGTTAAGGGTCACTTGAGCTATGGATCACTGGATCACTATGGATCATTGTGGATCACTATGGATCAGTTAGTCTAGATTTTGATGCTATTGAAAACTTGAGATGCTAGAAATCATCAGAGATGACGACCAGGAACTTTCCAGCAAAAATACATTGGAAACAGCAATCACTGGAAGCCTCAATGCCGAAGGCATCCCTAGCACAGGCTCTTGATGGCTCTTGATTGACCAAGTTGCAAAACGATCTTGCTTGTAGGCCTTTTGTCGCCCTGGCCTCATGCCTGCCCAGCAAAGGTCAAACATGGTCAAACTGACAACACTGCCCGACAGAAAGTAGGGCTATCCGCACACCAGCATTTGCCCCATCTCGTTCTCAGATGAAATCCTGTAACACCTCAGCCTCTGTACTTCCATTTTCTTACAGGAATCCACAAGTAGAAACAGCACAAACGGCAATGAATGCAAGCCCCACATGTAGTTTGCAACGGTCGTACTGATGTGATTCACTTGCGGCCCGCGATTAGATGAATCACATGTCTGAGCCGAAGTCTTTCAAGGCCAAGAGATCTTGAATCGATTTCCATCCCACTTGTGTTCACAATCGTCAGCAAACCTGAAAGAACCCAAATAATTAAATAGTCTAAACAAACACAATTGCCAGTCCAAAGTCTGAGCTTCCCAGCTAAGGGATAGCTCAGAACCATCCTCCGCACGGAGGAGCAGGTCCACTTCCTGTTTTGTCCATTTCGGTCACAGGTGCGAAGAAGTGCAAAGTATCAACTCGATCAACTCGATTTGACCGCGGCTTTTCACTGCAGAAGGGCTTGACGCACATTCTCCGGTCGTCTCACTGTGGGAACAGGCTGTAACAGGGCCGTAAAGATGATTATATAAAGGTGATCAAAGATGTACATCGGGAGAATTCTGGAGTGGGTTTTTGAGTCCAGGTTCTAGTTTCACTCCAGGTGATCAAAGATCAGTCACATCAGATCCAGAAATTCAACATCAATTCCACGAGCAAATCCCACCTGCGCCCGCTGCAGACCAAACTCTTGCGCAACATTTCTGCGAAGTTGGTCATAGCTCTCGAAAAGTGCGGAAGGAAGACCAAGCCCTGACCAGGCTGAAATTAAGCAAACATTAGACCACTCAGCCCAGACTGAGATCCTTTTGCCATAAGAAGTTACACATTAAAAATGAGATAGGAAGCCCCACCGAAGCCCTGGCCTGTTGTGCCTGTGTCAATGACAGCGATCAAAGGCGCTGTCAACTCCAATCGTTGTCCTGCCACTCGCAGGGCCGTTGCCTCAGGATATGCAATATGACGCAACTCGTGTACATATCTGTGTCTATATATATACTGTATGTTGTATATTCGTAATACATTACTTTGATTAATATTATATATATTATTCAATTTATATAATATATTATGATAAGATCAATATTATGATAAGATCAACATCATTTGCAGCTTGCAACTTGCAACAACTTGCAAGTGCTGTTCAGTGGGAACTTTCAACTTGCCTCCACAGCGTAGTAGCGAACTGGTGCTCCATTGGGCCGCAGATCCACCAGTGGCACCTCAGCACCAAAATCCAACAGGAAACACATGGAAACACAGACAAATAAAGGGGATAGATCGGATAGACATGGGAGAATGAGAAAAAACAAAACGTCTTTCGAAAGAACGAGGAAAGTCGGAAATGACATCATTTGTTCAGCTTTGTGATTAATTAAACTCACTTGCCAATCGGCCAAGAACTCTTTACAACAAACTGTTTACAACGAGGCCCAAAAAAATACTGAGACCCATGCTGCAGGGGCTGAGCCTGGCATCGATGGTAATTAAAAGTAATGAAACAGGAATGCAAGGACATCAATCAACGAGTTCTGAAACTGCTTGGCTGCAGCCAATGACAATGGTAACCTACAGTAGCACACGATGATTTGCCAAAACTGAACGGATTTCGATCTGTAACACATGGAGCTCTCAGGATGGAACTGACCTACATCGATGCTGATCACACTAGTTCCGTTAGTGTGAAGCAAGAAATTTCTGCCTCGGGAAGGCGCGCCAGTGGACAGAAGCAGCCGCTCCTGTCCAGATGACCGATATATATGCAAGAATATGCAAGATGTGTTAGAAGTGTTCATCGGATCTTGTTCATATTTGTTGGATCCGAAAGCATCTTTCCTGAGTACTGTACAGAAAGATACAGAAAGACTCTGATCTGCAATGTAAATTCGAGATTGGTTGACAATTGGTTGACAAACCCGCAAAGCAAACTGTATTTTTCAAGTCTTATGAGATCATTAGAACAGTCAAAGCTTGCCATGCCCCAGAGTCTGGACATGGCAGCACTGGAGAAATCTCTCGGGACGTCCTCTCCAGGAGCACGCAAGTCGACAGTGACTGTCCTGGAACAAGGCTGAGCCAACTCGCCGACGGATATCGTGGCCAGGGATTGCCAGGTTTGCTTTTGCTCACTGAGGTTGGGCTAGCAAACGCGACTTTCAACCCATGGCTTTTGGCTGAAGCTTGACTTGAATGCAAAAAGGTTGGAGGCCCATTGACAAGATATGACACAAATACACATGTGTAAATATTATTGACATGAACATGAAAACTACTCATATGGTATAGCTCAGGAAAGGGAAGCATCTAGCACCGAAGGACCTTTGGATACCTTTGGAGTCCTTTGGAGTGGTAACCGGGCCAACAGCCAGAAGGTACAGAGTTTACCCTTCCCACGGCAATGCTCCTGACAAATGTCTGGCCAAGAAGTGTAGGGCGTATTCTGGGCCGAAGCGCAGTTGTTGGAAATGAAAATGATAAAATGGAAATGAAAAAAACAAAATCAACTTGATCAGATTACCACTTGATCAACTTCGACAGCTCCCTGCGAACCTGGCGGATTTCTCTCGCACCAGGCCCAAGAAGGCTCCCCCTCCGTTCCCACCATAGGACTCGACCTGCGATCGCATAGGACTATATAGACTCAGACTCGTCAGTTCACTCGTTTAATTGTGTTTAATTGTGTTTAATTGTGTTTAATTGTGTTTAATTGTGTTTAATTGTGTTTAATTGCTTGAAGTTTTAGTGGGTCTCAGGGAGTCTCGCTGCCTTTGTCTCTGAAGCGGACCTTGCCTTCGCATATTGCCAAGATGTTTGAGCGCATCTTTCACAGCACATGACATCCTTTTCCTCAAATCCCCCTGCTCACCTCTAGCATCGCGCCATAGGTCACAGACCTGACGATGACCATACATATCATGTCATACATGCAAAATTTCCGTGTTATGGAAATGTTGTTTACATAGTGTGTGTATATATATATATTCATGTATGAACAAACATATTATTGTATGTACTGGTACGCCATGCAAACATGTGTCACCTCAGGGTGAGAATACAAGAGAGCATAAGAAGATCATGGGAAAGACCCCAAAAGTCAGAAGCTGTCAAACAATGAAAATTGTCAAAACAATTGTCGAACATAAACCCCTACAGAAAACATCAGTCGAACTGCAAAGGCGCCGCGGGACCCTCTGAGTGCTGGACCCAAAGCTGCGATCCCCCAACTCCAGAGAATCCCTGCAGGCTGACACTCGTGGGAGGCTACAGCCACTTGGCCCACCATGTGCTACCAATTTATTTCATGGCTTATAATATCTTATAATATTTATAATTTATGTTGCTACAGGAAGGAGCACATCCTCAATGTTCCCACTAGTGACTAGTGGTCTACTTGAGCCCTGTCTAAGAGTGTCAGTGACGATTATCCGGCGCCAGTGCTCAATCCGATGTGTTTCGACCGTTCGACTGCTCTTCCCTGATTGGCACCTCTTCCAGCTCACGCGAGCGAGGCCAGCAGCAAACAACTGTCATTTTGTGTCAACAGGGAATAAGTTTCCAGGAGGACACAAACATACCTCCTGCGATGTGCGATACCTTCACATCTGTTTTCTGATGAGATCTGTTTACTGCTAATTTTTGGTAGCTGTTTCCAAACACACTGGTCATAACTGCTTACAGGAAGGATCCCGGCTTCACAGCACCATGCAAGAAACAGGCGCAGAAATGCTGGCGTTCAATTCAGGCACTCCGGTCATCGGAATCAGTGTGTTACATTGTGTTACGGTGTTTTATTTTCTCCAGGTATTTTTGAAATTCTAGGTCGTGGCAATTCCTGGCATTCTGCATGCTGGACTTAACGTGATGCAATTCATGTCGTTTGATCCTGGTTCCAGGCCGTCTGATGCACACGTCTGGAACCCAGTCTGCCTCGTCCGTGTCTTTTAACCCAGAAGGTTTGCCAAGTTTTTCTGTTGTGCCTCACCACAAGTTCTGGATCAAAGCATCCCAAAATCTTTGGTGTACGACGTGTACGAGACAACCTCGTACTCTGCTGAACCATTTCTAAGCATCTTCTAAGGTTAATTGGCATTAATTGGCAACATCAATGATTTCTGTCAGCGGTAAATGGTTGGCTTCCTCGATGCGTCTTTCAATGGAATGCATTAATTGAGGTTGTCACTGTGGTGGCATTGGATGTCGTTTCCAAGCAAGAAATAAAACGAAGGTTTGCTGAGGCTAACACAACCCCATGCTCTGCAGTAAGAGGCGCAGCTATCACCCTCGCAGGTACTAACCTTCAGATCTTGGTTTCTGAATGTTTCTGATGCTTATTTCAGCGTTGTCGCCAGTTGGTAAGGTCAGGCCATAGTCTGCAGTACCGACGGCACCAATTAATTGGAAGCGAATGGCAGCCAGCTCGCCTTATCCAAATGCCGTCTCCGCTATGCTGCCATGTTGGCAACGAAATCGCTCAAACAATCTAAGCTATCTAAACCAAATCCTCTCTGGATTTGATGCACTTCTTCACTGTCAAATGCGCCTTCTTTCAGGAGCAAAAATGATAATGACAACCTATACATGTTTCATGGTTCTCACACCGGCCATTTCAAGTGTCGATGAGATTGATCAAGTAGCATTTGACAGTACATTCTTGCAAGACATTCCAAGGTCCTGAACATTCCGGAGCTTGCCAAAGGGGCGTCAATGGACTATGTGGCTTAGTCAGAGATTCCTTCTACTTTCCGGCCATCAACCACTAGAACGTTTTGTACCGTATGGCGGCCACAAAATACACTTGCCACAAGACACCCCTGACGTTGACATCTGCGGACTCAAAACCTCTTAACTACGGGTCGGTGTTCTTTGCGCCAGACCCGTGAGTTGAATGCTACAAAGCTAATCCATGTATTCAGCGAAAATAAAGCAATAGAGCAGGATTGTTGCCCTCCAAAACGTGTGTCATCGATATCTCATCATCCAATCCCAGGTCTCAGGTCAAAACATGTCTTCATCTTTCGGCGCCTCAAGCATTCAAAAGAGTCTCTGTCAGGAAGTCTTGGCAGTAAACCAATCTGGTTCTCACTTGACTTTGTCAGTTGATTTTTATGATCCGGAGATACTATCGCCAAAGATGTTCATCAATACAACGGAAGTAGTTGTTGTCTGTTTCAATACTACAGTATAACTTTTAGCGCAGAGCCACTCTGTAGCAAATAAATACTTGGTTTCGCAAATGCTGTCGTCTTCCTAATCTTAGACAAGTCTGTTGAGGCCGTCAAAAACACAAAAGAAAATTGGAAACGAGGTAGGCCATTGACTGTGTACAGTCCTGCAAATGGGGAATGCTCGGACCAGTCTGCCCATTCAACCCTAAGACGTGTATTCTTTACCCGTTAAAGCTGCCAAACTCCTCATCGGAGAACTAACATGTTTTCCAATTTCAAGACAGACTTTTGTTTGCTGTTTCATGGTACCCATCTTGTCGTTCTTATTTTGTCCTTGTCGTGATAGGGACCACCCTAGCCAGTTTTCCCTCAAAAGAACAATGTCTGGTAACTGCATCCGCACCTCTGCAGCTGGCCTCAGTGGGGTGGTTGAATCATCGCACCTAGAATATAATGCCAACGATGCA